TTTCTTCTGAAAATTCCGCGAGATTACACAACCGTGTCGAGCGGTTTGACGGTTGTTGAACTTATGCACCTTGATCATATTGATCTCCTTGACCAATCTTCAAGACTTGTGATTTTGAAGCCGCATTATGGGAAAATAAAGATCTTTAGGTATCACACCCAAGCTTTAGCAAGACAGCTCGTATGTAAACCTCACCAAAACTGGCAAGCACATTGCTACAGTTAGACGGTCACTGGATATATAACGGTCACTGTCATCTAAAAAACACCTCGACATGGGCATATTCAAGAATGACCCCATTGTGAGGAAGAAACTGCCATCATATATTCGAATGCAAAACAAGACCTAGGGTACCAAGAAGACCAGAGTAAAAGAATTGCAGCAATGACTGTTTCTTAAGAGATGTCAAAACAAGTCGTACTGAAAGAAACTAGGAACAGTTCAATAAGCCAGATGGCTACAGTGCTTGGAGAATACAAAACCTCCGTTTCATTTCCTTATCACCTGGGCTAGATCCTCTTCATATCTTTTACATAAATAAGGTCGATGCAGGAGTTTCACAGGGTAGCGTAGTCTGTCTGTTGTTTTCACACTACACTTCTCACACTTGCTGTTGACACTGCTATATTATAATCAAATCTCGATCCGTAACTCGCCTATACTCAGATCAGTGGTTTACAAAACGGCGCATTAAACTAACAACATTTAAATCGAAAATCATAAACTTTACCTCTAGTCTAATTAAAAACGTCGTTTTGGCTGTATTTAGACAAGTGATTCGGCCGGAACCCTCTCGGTTTAAAAGAACAGAAAGGAATCGACGCTACCGACCTATTGGTCCCAACCCTTATAGGGCATACCAAATTGAAAAGAAACAGCGGAACATGCCCTCTGTTGGTGCAAAAGCCTGCAGGCTGAGTTTTCTACTCCTGGGAGAGGAATAGTGAAGGATGATGGGCCTTTGACAAAGGTTTGGGATCTGATAAAAAGGCTTAAGCTTACAATAATGGAGATTGCACAATAGACCGATATTGGTCTCGGGTGTAAGGTCGTAAAGAGGCCTACTCCTTTTAACGTTTACATGCCTACATGCTGTCTATATGGAGCCAGAGTTTGACCTCTAAATTAGCACCATTTATGCTACCAACAACACTACACACAATGACTTAATCGTCACTTTTATTAAAGAGATGGCGAGATCTAGTAAGCTACCAACAATGAAGTCATATCAGCCCCCAATGCACTTGAGGGCCGATGGCGAAATATCGAGTACCCCATCGCCCACTCACTTGCAAACATAGACGTACACACGTACATTATATACAATACAGTTTTACTGTATTTACATTCTAAAAATGGGGAAACTCCCTTAAAAATTGGAACTGAGGGCCCAACATCACACTCTCACGTGTATGGCCATCGGTGGGCTATCGCTCAGTAGTAGTGCTCTTGATGCAACAAAGGTTCTCATATTTCAATGCACATATGATGACATCCTGACAATATTCTGTTTTGTACTTTGTAATTAATGTTACTAATTACGATAAGCGCAGATTGTGTCGAAAGAGATTAGGCTATGTAATAAGCTTGGGGTACCTCTTACTAATGACATTTAAAAGTGGCATATCATTGTGCGTGGCATTGCTTCGGCCATGGTTTGCATAAACCAGTTCTCACGACTTGTTCAGTTATTTTAAATTTTATATGAGGACGAAATGTAAAAATATATTCTCTATTGTATTATCAGGTATTGTGACTTATAAGGTCTAACGTTTCAACAAAGTTGGGTGTCCTTCAAGCATTTTTTTCTCAAATTTTTATCAGGATAGAGACAAAAGTTTCGGTATTTTGTACGTTCCTATTAGTAACAATAATGATGTCATTTGTTGACACGTTTCGTTAAGAAACTCGTTCCAGTCTGGTTCTACAAGTCACAGATTGGGCATGTAGGATTTCTCCCCACCGTTTGACCCCCCACATAAGGATGAATGGTCGTGCTCTGAGGAATGCGTATTTAAAAATAGACACAATGTCTATGGTATCATTCATATATACGGAATTTGTCGACGGGTTAGTTGAATAAGTGAGGGTGGTAGACTACGTCGGTTCATGACGTTTCCATACCTTAGCCCCCCTTTTCGACGGCACCGACACACATACACACTCTGTTTCTAAGCTATTTTGGAATTGAGTATTTTCATCAAGGGCCAAGCCTATTGACTCTCCGAGATAAGACTTTTTTAGAAGACTGCTGTAAAAGTGAAATTCATAAATTATCAATACTCAAAAATAAAAATAAATTTTTATATTATATATATTTTTTCATTTATTGATTTACGATCCAAGAATATCATATAATGTCGAATATAAATCTTTATGATTTTTTATTTTATTTTCCAACTAGCGTAATAGATAACGTATCTGTTTTAAAAACTATTATTTCATCAATATAATATATAATAAAAAATAATCTTAAAAGAATATAAAATGATACGTTAAATATGAACTTGAAATATTCATAGAAATGATGAATGATTTTAAAAAAGATTGAAATATTTGCTCTGCCTCGAAAAAACTGACAATTTATAATAATAATTATCCTGTATTGCGGTTTATTTTTGATTTTTTCTATTTATATCAAAAACGCCAATGTGGGGGGGCTTCATTATTCAATTTGTATTTGGGTCAACATTCTAAGGATTAACCTTCCTTTCTAATCAAAATATTTTGAATTAATTGCTTTCCGCTCGACTATCGCCGTGGCATAAAGGAAAACCATAAAATCAACCCGACGTTTAAGTCATTGTGTTGGTAATGTAGTGAATTATCTTGCAAAGTCTGGATTCGATTGAGGTTGGAAGGTTTAGTCGAATCCCATGGTCATTGCTGTAAGTCCATGTAGGATGTCCAGCGTCCATGTTTTAGTATGGTCGTGTTAAGGTTAAAAGGAGTGGGTCGTGATAATTAAGATAGGTACAGTTAGGTTAGGTTTTGTTAGATTAGGAATGGTTTAGATAGGGTTAAGGTTAGGTAAAAGTTTGGATTAGGTAGGGTTAGGGATAAAACTACAAAAAATAAATTATATTCAATTTCTAGTTTTTATGAAAAAAAAACATTAACATTAACATGTAATAAAAATGCAATAGTAGGCTAATTTAGAGATCAGACCCTGGCTCCATGTAGAGAGCATGTTGGCATGTAAAGGTTAAAGGTTAAAACAAACTCACTCTTCTCTCTTTCTCTTTCTCTTCTCCCCCTCCAATATCGATCTCTTACTGTCTCATCGGTTCATTCAGTCACCCAGTCATTCATTCACTCTGTTTCTCTCACTAGTTTGTTCATTCCTTCATTCATTAATCTCTCTTTGTTTTTCTCACTAATGCAATCATTCGTTCTCTCTATCTCATTCTTATTCTCTCTCACCTTTTACACTCTCTATTCTGACTCGCTTTCTCTCTCTCTCTCTCTCTCTNCTCTCTCTCTTTCTCTCTCTCTCTCTCTCTTTCTCTCTCTCTCTCTCTCTCTCTCTCTCTCTCTCTCTCTCTCTTTCTTTCTCTTTCTCTCATTCACACACACACACACACACACACACACACACATTCTCTCTCTCTCTCTCTCTCTCTATCTTTCTATCTATCTACTCTCTTTCTGATTCACTAAATTACTTATACGCTCACCCAGTCCATCATTCATTCATTCTTTGCTTCTCTCACTAATGAGAGTCATGTCATTCATTCATACGCTCTATCTATCTTGCTCTTTCTCTTTCTCTCACTCACTCACTCACTCTCTATTTCTCTCTTTCTCTCTCTCACTTTCTCTCTCTCTCTCTTTTTCTTTCTTTCTCTTTCTCTCATTCACTCTCTCTCTCTCTTTCTCTTTCTCTTTCTCTCATTCACTCTCTCTCTCTTTCTCTCACGCGCACGCGCGCATACACACACACACACACACACACACACACTCTCACTCACTCACTCACTCACTCACTCACTCACACACACTCACTCACTCACTCTCTTTAGAGAATTAAGAAACTTTGTTATTGTTTTGTAAAAGCAAGGAAAATAGTTTATATACATTTATACTTCTTTTTTAAAAAAACATCTTCATAGGTATATATTAATTTCATTACCTTTTTTTAGTTTTAATGTAAAGCAACGAACCAGATTTGTTTTAAATGAAATACAAAATATATTGAAATATTTTGTAAACATTATCATTATCTTATGTTTTGATTTGTTGATCGTTTATTCTATTATTTTTTGTAATAAATCATTTTTCTTCTCTGACTGATACGTACGATATTAGTTCGACGGTTATGCTAATTAAGCTATTTGTCCTTTGTAGCACTGAATAGCCTTTGTTCGTTGAAGACTTGGGCAATTAGACATACTAAGGACTTAGGTATCCCAGCGACACAAAGCCGTGATCACCTTCAAAGCAACGTTGTACTAAAGTGATTTGTTTTCTTTTAAAATGCACATCTTGGCATTTTACCCGTCCTAGAGTATTCTGCATCCTCGATTAACCCCCTTAGATATGAAACCAAACAAACGGGAATTTATTTGGCGTATGTAACTCATAATTAATCGCCCCCCTTTACTCAACCCGAAGCCAAAACTAACAAATTACAAATTAGTCTCTGCAAGACTTAATAGTGATTTTGTGCCTCTGTTGTAAAGCTTTAAATCCTTCTCTTTGAGATTTATATTAAATAATTCAAACCATTTGGATACTGTTAAGACATTTAAATTAAAATGGGCCAATAAATCTGGCCTGGATTTTAATTTTCATACTGGCTTAAATTCTTAATAATTTCTTATAAATAGGATATTTATGCTTATTGGTTGTTTAATTTTATGTTGTCTTAAAATCAGTCTCGTCGTTTTAAAATTGGGCGCAGTCGGAGGTTTTTTTCAGGAGTTATGAATATTTAATTCATGTTTAACTATTCGGCACGAAGTCACTCCCCCTAAAAGAAGGCCTGATCTGTTTTGCAGGTCCTTGAGGAGATTATGCACGGATTTATGCCAATAGGCCTCTCCAGGCGAGTGCTTAACTGGAAAATATGGGTTATGAAACTGGGACTACCGCTGAGTATTACTCTGTAATTATTTTTCCTTTTTTTTCTTTCCTTGTAGAATTGTTTTGTTTCGATTGCATGGGGTGTCGATTGGCTGTTTATAGCCCTGTGTTATTTATACTGGCGGAAAGTTAAACTTTAATGATCCTCAAAGTGGGAATTTTTCCCCCGGGAAAACAACAGTTGAATAATAAACTCCGATAAGTCGAAATCAATTTAAAGGAGAGTACATCGGTACATCGTAATGTTTTTTGTTTTAGGTCATTAAGATGTTGAGATGGCACAGTTCTCGGGTAACCATATATCCCAGATGCACCTATTTTACGAACTCAAACAGCAATATCCGAATCTTACGGATAAATTTGTCAACCAATGCATCAAGATGGTAATAGATCTTAAAAGATGGATTTGAAAGTTTGCCTTTTTTTTGTTTTGTTTTTTAATCTTTGTCCATTAGTTAATTTTGGTTTGTTTTGTGTTGTAACACGCATGGCACCTTTTCTCTAGTATGCGTAGTTCTAGTTTATTTCTTTCTTTCTACGAAGATGATGAAGAATGTCCATTTACGACTCGGTTTATTTTTATTTGAAATATTCATATAAATTCCTTTCATTTGCTTTAGTGTAAAACGTTGGGCCTTTTACGACGAGTAAGTACAAGTTAACGTAAAGCAGCGACCACTATCAATATCAGTCGGGATTGCGTCTCTGTCCTGACTTGCTTACATCCCTTGTCCAGCACTGAAGATGGCAAACTCATCTAACAGAAAAATCGAAACTTTGATTGATAGTTAAACTTTTTAAGTAAAATGAGTAAGAAAAAGAGAAATAACCTTAAAAGAAGGGAAGAAAAACATAACTAGTATATACTCTAGGATCGAAGAGACCTGGCATGCCGAGCATAAGCAATGAGGGGCGACAATTTTTGTATAATTGAGGAAATTTTATAGATGAGAAGCTAATAGCCGCTGCGTACAAAAAAAGGCGCAAGTCAGAGCACCTAGAACACACACACCCAAGAAATGAAACATGTCTTCGAAATCTCCAGAATCGCATACGACACATTGTTCATCCATCCGCTCTGTCCATGGTGCACAAGCACTCTTCGTAATAGACATAGAACGGTCGGCTAGAAGGCGATTTAGCTTAAAAAGCTAGGGTTTAGATGAGATAAAGAGAAAAATGGGTAGAAGAAGAAACACGTGTCACTTCTCGACAAGGTAGATAATTGTTTTGTTCAGAGAGAGAAATTTACAGTTGAATTTACTGAAAGACTTGTCCAACTTTTAAACCAAAATGTATTTTTGTTTATAATTTCCATAGCAAACATCCATAGCAACTCGAGAATATATCCACCTCCTTAACATTCGAGATGTAAAAGGGTGAGTCATAAAAAATGACCGATTTAATTTTATTGGAAATTGTCATCCCCTATAGGCTTTAGTTCTTTTCAAATCTAATTAGATTTCAAACCATTTTAATTCGTTGTCTTGTCTTCAGTTTTGTCTTAGAGTTTGGTTAAACAACATGACGGTAGAATTTGAAATTTTGGTAATATTACACTATTATTGGAAACGGAGGTTTTCTGCGCTGAAACAACCCGTTTGTTGCGGCAGTTTGAAGAAGGGGAAGTCTCTGAACGGACAGTGTGCAGATGGGTCCAGAAATTTGAAGCCCCAGACATCAGCTTCAAGAGGAAAGAGGTTCTGGACGAGTAAGATCTACGACACTCTGTTGAGGCAGATCCGACGAAAAGTACTCGGGAATTGGCAAGATAGTTTGGAGTTTCCCAGTCCGCCATAAATCGTGGACTTGGAAAAAGTGCTCATGAGATGACCATGAGGACGCCGAGTACAAATTTGTTAACTCTTTTGAAAAACCCATATGACCTTCGGTTCATTAAACTTGCGATGAAAAATGGATAAATTGTAGAAATCCCATAGAATAAATGAGAAACATTGGCTAGATCTACCAATCGCTAAACAAGACCAATGTAACAAAAAGACAATGCTTTCTGTATTTTGGAATTATGAAGGCATAATTCATTATGAGTTCATTCTAGAAGATCGAACCATTGATTCAAAACATCATTGTTACAGAAATGTATGATGTTTTAACCCAGCATTACCCAGGATTAGTAAATACCAATCGGGTTTTGTTTCAACAAAATAACACCCGACACCTCGTTACACATTAAAAATTAATAATTTGATGGAATTTTCCCTTACCCTGCTAACACCCCAGACTTAGCACCTTCCGACTTCCATCTGTTCAGGTCCATTGCTCATTGTCTTCAAAGGAAAACTTTTAATTCCCTGGATGAGGTTCAAAATGAAGTTGCAGAATTCTTCCGTTCAAAACCCAAATAGTGGTATTGTGGAGGAATCCAACACCTGGCTTCGAGGTGGCAACAAACCATGTTTTAAATATTTAAAAAAATTGTATCAAAATAAAATTATTTTTAAATTAGCTAGAAAACGGTCATTTTTTATTACTTACCCTATTAATTGTTTGATAGTGTCCATAATAAACAGTCTTTCCCACAATATGTGTTTATTTCGCTAGATGCGTTTCGGTCTAATGTAGACTATCTTCAGTGACTTTTTCAAAAATAAAGTAGTTTGACAGACTACTCGCCACGTCCATAGTCATCCAGATATCCACTTTTAAAGTTATAACTATGTAACAAACCTTCAAACTACTTTATTTTAAAAAAGTCACTGTAGATAGTCTACATTAGACCGAAACGCCTCTATTACGTTACCTCATCCAATAAGCAAGTAAATTTAGGGTGTTACCTCATCCAATAAGCACATGAAGATAGGGTGTTATCTCATCCAATAGTCAAATAAAGTTAGGGCGTTACCTCATCCAATAAGCAAGTAAAGATAGAGCGTCACCTCATCCAATAAGCAAATTAAAGTTAGGGTTTTACCCATCCAATAAGCAAGTAAAGTTAGGGCGTTACTTCATCCAATAAGCAAGTAATGTTAGGGTGGTACCTCATCCAGTAAGCAACTAAAGTTAGAGCGTGACCTCATCCAATCAGCAAATTAAAGTTAGGGTGTTACCTTATCCAATAAGCACATAAAGTTAGGGTGTTATCTCAGCCAATAACCAAATAAAGTTAGGGCGTTACCTCATCCTACAAGCAAGTAAAGTTAGAGCGTGATCTCATCCAATAAGCAAATTAAAGTTAGGGTGTTACCTCATCCAATAAGCACATAAAGTTAGGGTGTTTCTCATCCAATAACCAAATAAAGTTAGGGCGTTACCTTATCCAAAAAGGAAGTAAAGTTAAGGCGTTACCTCATCCAATAGGCAAGTAAAGTTAAGGCGTTACCTCATCCAAAAGCAAGTAAAGTTAGGGCGTTACTTCATCCAGTAAGCAGATAAAGTTAGGGCGTTACCTTATCCAAAAAGCAAGTAAAGTAAGGCGTTACCTCGTCCAATAGGCAAGTAAAGTTAGTGCGTTACCTCATCCAATAAGCAAGTAAAGTTAGGGCGTTACCTCATCCAATAAGCAACTGGTCGAACAGCGATTTTTTTGCTATAGTCTGCAGAGCAGAATTGAAAAAAAAGAAAATAAATAGTAAATAAAAATAGAGAAGAGAAAGCCCCTGAATAAGCAGTTCATAGGAGAATTTACAATCATTATATTACATCACCTTAAAAGGAAACTAAACATGTATTTGCTCAGTTTAAAATGTAGTTAGTTGATTTTTTTTTTGATTTTTTTTTTTTTAATGAAATCTTGTTTGTAAAGATCATTTTCAACCAAAATCGGATTGTTTTTTTGGTTTATTGGTAAGATTGTATTGCATGGTAGCATTATTTCTTATGTATCTGGATGTTTTATGTCTTTTGCGTAGTGTCAAAACCCATTGGGGCCTTAAGCCGGCTGAAGGTATGAGGAATGGTGTGTAGGAATAAGTGCATCGTCCTTGTTGGCGTGTTAGGCCGATTGTGTATAGCTGTACTGGTAAAGAAGGTTGGGATTTCGGACGAGCATTCCTTGGACAGGAGCCATATCTTTCCCCAATGCTCAATGTCGCAACACCAGATATCTCACTCCTCTCCCTTGGCAGCTCTACAAACCCTTTAGACATTTATTGGCCAGTGTTTTTTTTACCAAAATTGTCATAAATCATTATTGGGTTTTCATGAAAATTGAGCCCAACTTAATTCTTGCTTCGGTTGCTTAATTTGCTTGCTACAATCCTCCTTGTGCAAAAATAATTTTATTCCTGGCTTTTGTTTTTCTATTGTGGTTCTTACCTGTATAAGGAGCACTCCAAGGAATTCAAAAAATAACAAAATAAAATAAAGTAACCGAACTTATAATTTTTTATCTAAAAAAAAATAAAAAAATACGACTCATCAAATGAAAATTTATCAAATAATAATAATAATAATTTTTTGATTTAAAAAACAAATTATTTCAAAAATGACCAAAGCGCTCACTTACAATATTTGTCGGTGCAGGAGCAGGAGACACGCTTCAATGATCTCTTTTTCTTTTCTCATTCCTTCTTATCTCTCCCCACCATTAGTCGGTGCGCTTCTGATCCTGACAAATCTTCCCGTTGCAAAAAAAAAAAAATTGTCACATATATATAGGTGTCATAAACGCATGCACTCTTCTTCTTTGTCATCTGTCTTCTTGACCTCAGGACATCGAAGGATGTTGATTTCATTGTCTCATTCTCTTCTTCTTTTTCTTCTTCTTCCTTCTTCTTCGAGAGAGGCTCTAGTTGGTATTCATGAGCTTTATGACGAGGAACACGTCCTGGAGTTCTCTTGAGCGACTTTTGCTTAGTGAATAGATCGTAAAACCCAATTATGTTTTTGTGGTTGACGATCTCCATAAGCTGGGTTTTCCGTTTGTCGAGGAGCGATAGGCAGCGCAGACAATCCCTAGTGTTCCGGATTCTATTTACTCGGTTGAGAACGACATCCACACGAAAACAAGCTCCCGATGACGGCTGAGAGCTTTGTTTGCTCCGGAGAGTCGTTATGGCAATTAATTATAAGTTAACTCGTTACTAAATGGATTTAATCTAGCTTCTATCAACTATTATATCTTTGAGCTCGAAATAACTGATACGTCTACCGTGAGACTTCCTCCTGTGTCTGCGGAGTGCTGAACCTGTAATTTTTTCTTTACAGATCATCATGGTCTGCCGTCCATTTCGCACTCTTCAATGTGTATGTGTGATTCTGTTAAGTCGAGTCTTTGACACACCCACACCTTCGACCTTATAACTATTCACCATAACCGAGTATTTCCTAAATCAATTGTATACGTCGCACCTATTCTGCATAAAGCTCAGAATTAGTATATTTTAAGCGAAAGTATTCTGAAAGAGCCAGGTCAGGAGTAAGAGAGGTTGAGGTATAGTACAATAAAAATACGAATATTTGACGTGTACTACCGGTTGTTTTGTCTAAATAAAATTCTTTCTATTTACCAAAACCGGGTATTTTCTAAATCAGGTGCGGGCGTTGCAGTAATTTGATCCTAGACCTATCATCTTGGTCTGCCACTCCTCTCTAGGTTGGTCTGTCAAACGCGTTTCGGCATCTCGACATCTTCAGTGCTTCTGAGTGATTCTTTCCCTTCATTAACCTTCCTCTACTCTATTAGTTCCGAGTCGTATTCGGAATAATTGCAATGTACACATGATTTAGGAAATACGTGGTTTTGGTGGTTAGGAAGGCACGCTTTCTTAAGATAATAACGTCCGGTTGCACCCTTGAACAAAAGGAAGATATTCCCAAATGGATGGAACTCTGCTCCTGCCGCACCAACCCTGTAGTCCTGACCTTGCTCCTTCGGTCAACCAGGTAGGAATGACTCAATTTCATAAGACAATAACGTCCAGTCGCAACATTGGACAAAGAAAAAGATCTTCTCTAATGGATGGAACTTAGCTTCTAGCACCAACTTTATAGTCCTGACCTTGCAGGACACCACGTCTTCCCACTTCCTTCTTCTTCCCCTGAAAAAAAATGATTTCAAAAAGTGTGTGCCATATTAAAATACGGATCACAAGTAGCTCGAGTTTTATTTGTGGTTTAACCCTCTTTACGTATTAACCAAATGAGGCCTTGAATATACGAATTCTACTTAAATGTACTTCTAAGGAATATGTACAATTACATTTTCGATTGTTTCAGGCCAGTGGCGATCTGGTGGCATGTAGAGGGATTCTTGAAGCAGAGGCCCTCATACCGTTCGCCATGCAGCAAAGGCGGCCAAGCTGTCTTGAAGTCGACGAATCAACGAAGCTGGTGAGGTACCAGACGTCGCACTCAGCACCCACGACACCTTGTAGCATAACGAGGCATGCCCCCCAATCGATTAAGAGGGCCATCATATCACCTTCCTCCTTTCTTCCCGACATTCGAAATAACAATGGCATAGAAAGTAAGTACGTGTCTTTTGTTTTATTGTCGATTTTAACCAACTCCTACAATTATTTTAAAGTAATATCCATGGTGTCATAACGTCTATTTATCGACTATACTTCGAAAATTAAGAAAAGAAAAAGGTTTAAAGTAAGTGAGATTTCCTGTGGAGGTCTTCAGGAAGATCAACAGTTGCCGTTTTCTACAGTTTTGGTACCCTTTCTTATTTCAAACGCATTCGTCTTTTCGCCATCATCATGTTGGATAATTGCAGGTGCCTCATAATGCTTTTATACCGGAACGACCACTCACATTTACGAGAAGCTGAAACGCGTCTAACATACCAAAACAGCGAGGCAAACCAGGTTAGTCGGAAACGACCAAGATACACATACGATTTATAGTCGTTTCCGTTCGTTTTTGGTTTCTTATCCTTAAATATTTACATCTGTTAGGCGCGTTTCAGCATTTCGCTATCATTAGAGGTAGGGCTGGGATATAAGCAGGGAGAGGACTGACACAAACCAACCACTGACGATGGCGAAAAGCCGAAACACACCTGGCTGACCAAGTTGAGTGGTAAGATCTCAAATACTACACATGGTTTCGTCATTTTTTACGACACATTTGTTTCAACTTTTGGCCATCGTTAGCGATTGGTAAGGAATATAAGCAGAGTGAGGAACCGATAAAAATTGACTACTGATGATGGGAAAAGCCCGTAAACTCACCAGTTAGACCAAACAACGTAAGCAGAGCAGGTTAATCGTAAAAGACCAGATTTTAAAATAGTAGTCATCGTTTCGAGATTTTGACCTGTCAGATGTATTTTGGCCATTTGTTTTGGATCAGGGTTTTAAGAAGGGTGAGGCACCGATACAAACCAACAATGATGATGGCAAAAAGCTGTAACTCGCTTGCCAGACCAAACAGTGGGGTAGGCATTTGATCAAAAACGACCAAACTACAATTGCTACTCAAAGTTTTGACATTTTGGTCAGATCGTTTCACAATTTTGCCGTCCTCTTTTGGGTAAGGGATATAATGCAAGTGATTCACCTACACGAACTTATCATTGATGATGGCAAAAAACCGAAACTCGCCTGTCTAACTAAACCAGCGAAGGTAGGCAGACCAGGTCATCGGAATCGACCATGTTACTAACAGTTTCAATATTTTGTGAGAACTTTTTTGGTCTTATCAGATGCGTTTCTTTATTTTGCCATCTTCAGTTCTGAGCCAGGGATATAAGACTGGTGAGGCACCCACACGAACTTACCGCTGATGAAGACAAAGGCCGAAACTCTCCTGCCAAATCAAACCAGCGGGGGTAGGCTGACCAGATCTATCAGACGCATTTCGGGATTTCGCCATATTCAGGGACCGGGATATAAGTAGGGTGAGACACCGACACAAACCAAAACTGATGATGGAAAAAATGCCTAAACTCGCCTGTCAACCAAACCATCGAGTCAGAAACGATCGAAAACGATTAAACTACATGTTCTTCAGCCCGTATACCTCAAAAGTAATCTCACAACTATTATTAGGGTCATTCTTGCGTGACAAGGATACTACGGACAGGCTGGAGTTAGAACTACGCTTTTGAACTTTGCACGAAACATAATATAAAACCGTCTGGAAACAAGACAAAACAAAGGCCGGGAATGTTTACAGTGTCCGAGAAGAAATCTAACCGGCGTGTCTACTATTTCACCCAATGTGTATCTTCAGCCTACAACTCCTTCAACTGGATGGCCGGGTTTTTTCCAGGAAAAAATCCTCCAAACGTGTAGAAGTGAAATGAATAGATTTTTATTGAAAAAAATCCAAATGTTAACAACATTAATAATAATAAAAAATTAAAGAAATTTTGAATGAATGAACTAAAAACCTTTTGAATCTTAAAACTCTTTTATTCCGGGAAATAATAATACAATAATCCTTTATTATTGTATTATTAACTTTAATCAAAGTTGCCGTCGTGTTGGTAAAACAGTAAATAATTGCACTATTTCGGTTTAGAACCCAAATTATGCTAAATTTATTCAAATTTCCTTAAGTTTTTTAAATTTATTTTTAATCTTTCCATCTTACCAATCCGCCAACCACGGTTTTTCCTTTCCTTCACCAATTTCTTCAACTTTGAAAAAAGTAATTCAAAAAGCAATTACACCATTAAAAAGGATATTAAATGGAGTACGTTTTCTGAAATTTGCTGGCCTCTGGGGTTTGGAAAAAGTAGTTTAGAGTCACCATACTAAGTTTTTCAACTTTGAAAAAAAAAATTATTTTTCAAAGTTCTGGCTACTAAAACGCTTATTTCACCACCGTTTACAACTTTAATCTTATTGGAAATTTAACGTAGTTTTCAATGGTATCTACGGATTTGTCCAAAAAAAATTTAGTTTTGGAGTTATTATTGTTCACTTGAAGCAACGTCGTGAAATCGTAAAAAAATCAGAAAAAGTGGAATAACTCCGAAACTGTTGAGATTCGGACCATAGTCAAAGTTGTGTCTGAAGTATCCTGACAACAAATATTTAAAAAAAAAAATTAAAACGAGTAGAAAACATGAAATACGTATTTTTTGGTTTTTCGAAAGTTATATGTTTAAGAGAAATTTAATTGGGCCATCTAAAAAGGACATCCTGTTGAGTATATTTTTGCTTGTAAATAAACAAAATTTAAGTTTCGAAGAGAAATATTTGTCGATTCGACTTGCTTAGGTGGAAGTCTAGAAAAGTGCCTCAGAAGGATTCTTTTGACTTGTTTAAATATATTTATTTATAGTTTTCTCTATAAGATTTATTCGATTCTGAACCTTCTTTGGCAATTGATTTCACATCAAGTTTTGTTGGTACGAATCTACTATAATTAATAAGTAAGGGTCGACAACACAGAGCATTCTTCTTTCGGCTTGGCAAAGGGGTCAGGTAGAATCCCTTATTTATTTAACTTTCTCTTTAAACTATCATTTTGATTGTTCTGGCAGCTCGGGAACTTATAAAGTTTATTTTAGTATAATAAGGACACGGAATGCATATTTTGCCCGGCGAGGAGGAAATGGTGTGTAATTGCTTACAATAATAGCACAGTGCATAAAAGCATTTGAAAAGACAATCCTCGTTTTATTTTTAACATTGCACCGTTTCCGTGTCCTCGTGTTGTTTCTTTTTCACGATGTACTTGTTAATCTCTGGTTCACCATTGAGATTTATTGTCGAGGACGTCCACGGAATAAATTTAGAAATCCAAACAGGTAGATTTGCAAGGAGTGCGACATATCTATTATTACATATCTGTGGGTGGGTCATAGTGGGTGGTCATTTAGTTTGCACCACACCTTCAAAAGAAATTTTTTTTTGGAAGCTTGTTGCAAAAAAAAATGTCAAAAAAAGACATTTTTGCCATATGCTTTTTCAGTACAGACAAGCCATTTTTCAAAAAATAAATTGATTACATTCCATTATTCTCAATTTCCCATTTATAGACAATTATTGTTCTGGATTTTTTTCTCTTGTAAAAATTTATTTTAAAAAGTTTGCTTAATGCGGCCAACTAATATTGGAGCACGAGGTAATAATTTGGCAAGGTACTCATCAGTTTCACGGTCGTGTTTATACACGATATTTGACTTAAATTCAAACTATACAATCATTTTAAGCAAACCGAGAAAATAAAATCTCCCACTTTCATTAATTGTTCAATTATAACTTGAATCTTGATATTCAATTGTTATTATTGAATTGACCAAGTCTAATTGATCATATCCAGTCAAGTGCATCGGTTGCCCTTGAAAAGTTTAAAAAGTTTTAAATAAAAGACCATTTCGGTTTGCTTTAATTAAATTTAATAAAACCATACTAACAGCAGAACATCTTGTTTTTAAGAATAATAGAAGTCAAATTTATTTTACTATTCAAGATTAATGACTGTTCTGTACTTATATTTATTTTCAATTTTCCACCTCCTTGAGATAGAAATCTTATTAAATATTATTATGCAGGACTGTTTTAATGTACCTTTCTAATGTGATGCAGAGTGTTAGTATGGGTTTCTAAGATAATGTCGCATTTCTGAAAATTCTTCTCTTCTTCCGTTCACTTCGGTCTGTACGTGGTAAAAAAAATTGTTCATATCTCCGTGGGTTTGTAAAAAATCCTTTCTTAACGGCTATTCAAGTCATTATAAGAATGCACTTTAAAATTTTTAGCTCTTTAGCTCCAGTGGTTTGGTCTGTGCATTAATAATAATAATAATAATTGAACTTTATACATTTTCGTTTTTACACTTAAATTTACAAAAGACAATGGACTGATCCGTCTGCCAGGTGGTCTGTGCATTATATGTCAGTCAGTCACGGAACTGTTTTATATATATGAACAGAGATGGAATTTCAAAAAAATCCTTTCTTAGCGGCTATCCATTGTAGAAATGCACTTTAAAAATTTTAGCCCTTTAGATATAGCAGTTTGATCTGTAGGTTGTCTGTCAGTCCGTCACAGAACTGTGTTATATATATAGATTTAGATAAATTCAAAAATCTTTTAGTTCCAGCAGATTTTCTTTATTTATGGAAGATGTCTTCTCTCACCTTGTGACCATTATCAGCCTTTGTTAAAACAAAATAGAATAGAAATGAAACAAAATGTTCTTTTCAAACTTGTCATTGATATTTTTTTAATTGTGACTTTTTTAAACTAAATGATTTTATTCAATCACCAGTTTCTATTGTCAATTTGAAAAAAAGCTGGACTTGCGCCCCTTAGGCAAAAGACAGATTTTTTTATACACTGAATCATTTCTGCTAAATGTATGCAAATAATTTATCCAAGGTATTATTTTTTCTAGTAATTAATATTTACTCTCTAATTTTATAGTGTTAATAAAGGCACAGTTGGAACGAAAGTACAATATGGATAGAGAATTAAACAAGGAGAAAAATGTTCTCCGTGCTATGCAATTACAATACGAGGAACATATGGCCTTATTGGCGAGCAGAAAAACCTCTGCTAAGGTAAAATAAAAACAAATTATATTTAAAACTTGTAAATATTGACTTATTATTTTATAGGTTCAATCACTTAATGATGAAATTAAGCAGTTGAGCATGGAATGCCAAAGGCTTGTTTCTGAGTTAGACGCCTCGTGTGAAAATAACGACAAAACTAGCAGCCACAGAACTGATTTATTAATAAATGGTAACTGTCTTTATTGATAATTCTGATGAAATAGTTTGAAAAAGTTTTGTTTTTGTTTCAGGCAGTGAAACACTTACAGGGAGAGAGGAAGACAGTCAGCATTGGCGATGCCACATTTGCACATTCCAGAATCACCGACTGTTACAGCAATGTGACAAATGTAATATGCCACAAATTACTTTAGGTACTGGAGTTAATTGAAATAGTTCTTATATTTGTTGTTTTTAACATAAATTTGTTACAGTTTGCCAACTAATTTTAAAATTGCATGTAACGGCATGTTTTTGTTATAATTTTTTTATCTCTTAAAGATTGTGTTATTGGTTGTGATTTTCATCGTATTATTATAGTACTATTTATTTTTTATAAATTGACAGTAAAAATATATTAATGTTTTTCACCATTTATTTTCCAACTCGTTAGAATTTTATCCTATCAACGTATTAATGCAGTGTTTAAAATTATTTCTTGTTATTTCTGTTGTATTGTTGTTTCCTCCATTTAGTATTTAAATTTGTACATATGTGTTAGCTATTTAATCTTTTTAATTTTGTGAAGTTTTGTTTTGTGTGAGATCTCGATGTTTTCTATGTGTTGCTTTCATTAACCAACAAATTTACAAAATACTTATTTTTGCCCCTGAGATCAATAAGTCTGAAAACCTGTTTATTATTATATTATTATTTTTTTTTACATTTTATAATTCAACCTCAGGAGATGAGAGTTACCTGTGGCCTTATATTTGCCTTAAATCTTGTAAAATTTAAGTGTTGTATATTTATGATATAAATTGTAAAATATTATTGAGATCTGCTAGGTGATGAACCTTTGATTGTCTCCGATCATCATAATCTGCCTATTGTTGCTGGATTTTAGCCTGTCAACATTTGAAAACTTCAAAATATGTCTGAAAGACAAAAGTTCAATATAGAAATACAAGGAAGATCAGGGATGATCAAGCTGTAATATAAATGTTTGTAATTACAATATAATATTCTTACATAAAAACTTTTATGTATTAAAATTTTTTTTTTTTTTTTAATGGTCCATAAGTGTTTGTAATTTATAAACCTGATTTTACAAAATTATATGTTAAAAAATACAGTTCATGTTTGTAAATATTTTTGATTGCAGCGTTATAGATGTTTTATTTTGTTAATTTTTTTAAGCACATCGAGTGTTAAATATATATTTATTTTGTAAGAATTGAGTGTTTTTATATTTTTTCTATTAGCACTTTTTTTTGTCTTCCTTTTTTGACTGTGCTCTCGATTTAAAAATATTTAATTTTCTCAATTATTTTTAATAATTAAAAATATACATGCAATATCAAGCAGAAAATTTTCAGAATTGAACATGTGACCCGCATGGTGTTTCACCGAGTGAGGTTAAAATGCATGTCAATGTTTTGTTTTATGCATTTTCTCATACATATAAAAAATCTAACAGATATTGAATTTGAACACAAATAAAAATAATTCTGTTTTTTGTTTGCTCTTTTTTACTTTTCAGAAGGGAGAGATCCGCAAAATATACACATCAGAGTTATGCATCACAAATTTCCGTCATGTAGTAAGTTTTTACAAATCAAGTTTCTTTGCAACATCTTTTATTTAAAACTGTTTAATATCAATTTTTATCTTTATTGTTAATCATTAATTAGTATTTAATTATCCTTGAATTATCATTTATTTAATCAAAGGTATGATTTTAACTTATAACAGCATGCCGCAAGAATCACCAACTTAAGTTTTTTGCTATCCTGGGTCAGATGTTGGTCGTATCCATCCCATCACTAAAGTAAGGCTCCAAGGTTTGTCGGTTAGGCCATTTCAGTCCCAAACATCTGTTTTAAAATCTAGACATGCCCACAATTTCTCTTATTTTTAAATATTTTTTATTATTTAATAACTAATTTAATTGTGGGTCGATGGGTACTCTTCCACTATCATTCGCCCCACTGCACATTCATTCTAATAAATACATTTACTCCCAATACACCAAAAAGGTATACAAAAAAGCATATTTTCTAAGTTTTATATACTAGAAAACAGCCCTGTCTCTCCCTCATATCAGATGGTATTCCTGCGTACTCGCCATATCCCAAGCCGAACCAAAGCATGACACATTTCAATTAAGTTGGGCCCATCAAGCAACCATTCTCTTCGTGCAAGACACAAGCTTTGACCTGAAAGTAAATGTCTGTATGTGATATCAGACCTATTACACTGCATATTCATGCTAATAAATACATTCACTCTCAATATACCCAAAATATATACAAAACTATTTTTCTAGTACAATAACAATAAAACAGCTTTGTTTCCTCCAAAAATCGGAACAGTGAACCAAAGGCTACCATGCTCAAGTATAATTCTCATATTGGGTAGATAAATAGATATACTTTATTTACAAAATGAAAGAAATTTAGAGTTAAAAATAAAAAACAGTATTATTATGGCATGGTATTAAGACCATCTGCCAGAGTTCGGAGTGCATTACTATTCCAAGAATATACATAATTATATAATTATAAGAAAATGAGAATTTACAATATCAACTTCAGAGGTTACAATTATTTACAGGATTTTCAAATTACAAGATTGAAATGCGATAAACTTTGAAAATAATAAAAATGACACTTCAAAGAACCAAAGCAAGGATTCCAACTCACAAAGGGTCCCCCACCGGCAAACAGAATTTGCATTTAGAAGCCCACAAAGTAGAAATTATATGTATTACCTTCGAGAGCAAAAAAGGAAACAAAATAAGACGAACAGAATATTAATTCCCTACATTCCAATATATTCATATATGTAAAACCAGGCTTTCTGAGCAAAATCAACAAGACCACAGCAATCCGAGCCGTTCAGAAGGGCTATAAGCTCTTCCCTCGTCAGAAAACCCTTACCCACATACGGATACCTCAATTCATTAAGGACCGAGCATCTAGCGAGAAAATGAAATGCATCCTCACGATCACCTGAGCTGAATAGAGAGCACACTGCAGTGGCAGGAGTACCCCCAACCCAACGCCTGAAATTCAGGAACAACTCCCCCTGAATTTTAAACCACCAGCAGAAAAAAGAGAACGGAGCATCATTTGCTGGAGCAGAAAAAACATTGCAAGGAGTTAGGGAATGATTCAACTCCTTGTAGAGTTGGAATCTATTTGAATCCACAGCACAAGAAATACAACTCTCCCGATGACGAGCCCCCATAATATGAAGAAGATTGGAAAACCTTTCAGACCATGCTGCAGAATTATCCAAAGAGAACCAAGCCACATTATACCTCTCTGCAAGAGATTTCCAGGATATGTTACCCTTAATAACTTCAAGTGATGTGATTTTTGCCAGGCGAGAATCAGGAGCTTGAAGCGATTTCAAAATAAACTTAAAATGTAACCTTTAAGAATAAATAAACAACAGTTCTATGCCAATCTCAATATACAACATATAATTAGGAGTTGATGATGGCAGGGCAAACAACTTACGAACAAAAAAAAAAAAAAAAAAAAACTGTCTTTTCATATTCGCGATAGCCCTAAACTTGACCTGTATATATATAGACAGACCAAACTTCTAGATCGAAAAGGGTGAAATTTTGACAGTGCATCCCTATAATGACATGGATATCCGCTAAGAAAGGATTTTTTCAAATTCCATCCCTAAGGGGATATGGACATTTATTTACCATGTATAGACTGAAGTGAACTGAAAAAGAGAAGAATTTGAGAAACGAGTCATTATCTTAAAAACCCATACTAGCACTGCAAAACAGCCAAGGAATGACACACTTCAACTAAGCAGCGGAACACATTGAGCAATCCTTTTCTACATGCTGGTCACAAGTTTTGGCCCAAAAGTAAGTGTCAATCTTGGATGACCTATTCTTAATCTGATAAGGATGATACCTCTTGTACAATTCAGATCCTCCAAGGGTTAACTTGTTATGTTGGAGCTTCTATGCTGACCCACTAAAGCTGCCATTTTGCTTTAATCATATTTTTCAACTAATTTTTATCATCCAAGAAGTCAGATCGTGATAGTGAAAGCATAATGCATTGAATTTATTCTAAAATTAATTATTTATGATCTAATGTGAATTTTTGTTTGACCAACTTTATAAGGAGATATTTTTTTAAATTAAAACAATGTACAAATTACTAATGTTTGCCATAAAATGTTGATATTTACACATGTTTTGCTTTTATTTATTTTTTTAAGCAGCTAATAGCTTTTGGTTTGGGCTTAAAAGGTGAATTTGTGATAAAATGCTATGAAAGCATTTTTTAAATTTACCAATTTTTTTCCTTTAAAACAATCCACACATAACGAGAAAATTGTGTTTGCTGTTTCAGAAGTTATACATAGCTGGGCGTTATAACGATTGGCGGGTACTGCATATTATCTTTTATTTCTTTGTATGTAGAAGATTATCAATGGCTGTGTACATATAATAGCTTAAAAACATAAAACATAAATTTAAACAATCCACCTAATTTTGAATATTAAGAAGAATAAGTTCATTTTATTTATCATGATGTATTTATTAAAATGTTTAATAGTGTTTGTTTTTTAATCTATTTTAATTGTTATTCTTTTGTTTTTCATTAAAAAATTGGCTAATTTTTTTTTGTAATTAATGACAATATAAATAATAATTTTATTCCTTATTGTTTATGTATTTATTATATTTAAGTTATTCATTTTCCAATTTAAAAATGAAAGCAATGTATTACTGTTTTGTTCAAAAATTGGAAAATTATTTTTTTTATTTGCTTGTCTAATTATATTAAATCGGATTTATGTGCGTAATAATTGCTACAAGGCAATGGCGGCCACTATCTTTCAGAATTGTATGCACGTTTTACATTTTTCAAATTTTCATATTTGTTACATTAACATGATGTCGGATCGGTGCATGTTCAAATGTTCTACATAGGAAAAAACTATGATTTTAATGAATCACATCTGGCTTTCTCATCTTATGTGTTAAACATTGCAAAAAAAAAAAAAACCATGGGACTTTATCATTATTTACGACTAGTTTTTAAGTTAGAATAACAAATTACTTTCCAGAATGTTTACAAAGCCTTGGCAGTTTGTACAGATATTGGTAATTCGTCTATTTTTATACATTGAATATATATTTTATTTAAACCTATTTGTATATATGTTCACGAAAGATATGTACATTAAAAAAAAAAGATTTAATTTTATCAACCAAGTTTGTGATGTTTTGATTATTGGGACTATTGAAGAGGACATGATGTGGGGTTTTTGTAAACCACAAATGAATTGTTTATAAAAATCAATGTTATCAAGTTGAAACTGCATAAATGCGTAAAAACATGTACATAAATTGTGTTATTAAACACAGATTATAAAATTATTTTTTTGTTAAAAAAAGAATAATTAAAACCCTTTGTATAAATATTTAAGTTTTAAAATAACATCCTTGTTAAAACTAATCTTAATGTGAATGCTCAATTTTATACAGAAATTGTATAAAATTTGTAATATAATTTGATTGTAATTTTATGTTTAATATTTAATTTTTTGTTTAGATTGTAACATGTAAATTAATGTAACTTTGCAATTATATTGTTCCCGTTTAACTGTTATTTTTAGCCTTTTCATTTTATGATCTTGTAGTAGTTAAATTCAGTATTTTTTTATGTCAATATTATGATGTAAATAAAATATTTTAAATGATTTTTTGTAAATTTAAAATTGCTTTTTTAAATGCTTTATATAAGCTCAAACCTGCATATGCATGTACAAAGTGAGCCTATTGCTTCTCGCAGTCCACTGGAAATTCCAGCTTTTTGTAATTTACAATCAATTAATGGTAGGCCTCGACAATCGCCCGCTCTGGATGTTGGCAGTCTGAGGACAGACATCGGTCTTCTTCGTTTAGCCGCCGAAGTTGGGCTGCAGGGGCTACCAACAACTAGGTCATTTCAGCCCCCAACACAAGTTTCTAAATCCATTCACACTCTCACTCACCCATAAATACATTCTACAATATACATGCCTATAACTAACCTAATTGAGGGTCGATGGGTTCTCAATATTCCATTATCGGCCCTTTTACACTACACATTCATGCCAATAAATACATTCCTTCTCACTCACTAAGGACACAAAACTATCATTACTAGAGATAATAAAACAATGCTGTTTCCTCCAAGAAACGGAACAAGAGCCCTGATATTCGCTGCCATGCTCAAGCATAATTATCATATCAGGTGACTTTCCTACACGCTCTATATGGAGCCAAGGAAGTTGAAAGAAAGCACCATTCAATAACTTGGACAAATTGAGCAACCTAGCTTTGACCCAAAAGTTTCTGTGTGTCAACCTCGCATGGCCTATGCTTAATAGGGTGAGAATGTCCTTTTATGAATCACCTCCGAGGGCCAACTATCAACAGTGCTCTTGATATACTCGAGTTTCTTTTTCTGATTGGCCCACTGATGCTGTCAGTTTCTTTTAATGTTTTTTATTGCATTTTTAGCATCAGTGGGCTGGATAGCAGTAGTTGGCATTTCATGGCCTACATCGTATGCCAATTTATTATTCTTCAGACCTCCTGGGTACCCAGAGAATAACTATTGTTTTGCCAAGATGCTCCAGCTCGTGATGCACCAACAAGAGCACAATATGAGTATCGACAGAGTACCTGCGCTGAGGGAGTCGGTGCAGGCCAGATAAGCAGGGCCAGCATCATCTCAAATCACCTCAAGCACCTGCCAAATCGCATACCATTTGGGGGGGGAGTGGCCATGAAGTGATGCACCCTTGCACTACATGGCATACATCATACCCTCACCAGTCTTAGAAGATGAAATAAAAACTGCCATACCACAATAAGTTCCAAGAACTTATCTCGGTAAACATATGGTGGAGTAGATGACTTGTCCTAAACACACGAGACAGCTTGATGAAGTTTTAATTAGAGACCAATTTATTGTTTTGCTATTGGAGATTTAAAATATTTCCATACAGGTCAAGGGGTCCCCCGTCTGGTAAACGAACTATAGTGACCAGTAAAGAGCTGGCTGCATTAATGGGCAGGATCTGTTGTGTATCAACTATCTGAACTTCCACTAGTATTTAATGTAAGGAAGCATCACGCTCACCTGTGTAAGGATAGGCCATACCTGATTTACACAAGTACACTCTGACTTTAAGGACAAATTCTGCTTGTAGAGAAAGGTCACTCAGGTTGTCACACTTGGTAAAGGAGTGCCAGGCCTTGTACACTTAGCTTCCAATAAGCCCACTACAGTGGTCAAAAAGATCACCGCCATCAGTGGTGACCTGTTCCTTGACAATCTTGGGCCACATACATCCATCCACACAGTGGTAGATGATGGGCCATTGTGCACTATGAGGGGTAGAAATTCTCTGCGTATTTTGTTTTTGCAGGTGGACATATTTTGCTGCAAGAGAAAAAACTCCCAAAGCCAACCTTCGCCACTGCATCCGCACAATGGATATAGCTTGTGGTGGCTGATGATGGGCCATTATGTAGAGGGGCCTTTACAGGGAGTAAGTAGGCATATCACCTAATGATTATTTCCTTGTATTTGCAATTTTTATGAATTGAAATTTGGTTCAATATCATCAGCAAAAATAATTTTAAGTTTAATAGTGGTTTAGAAAGACGAATCTAAAAATCAAAAATATATTTGATTAATGTACAAATAAAAAATTACATAGATTCAAAACATAAATTTTACACTTTATATTTAATATACATAATCAAACATTTGTGTAAGGACAAATTAAACTGCTGTTCCTCTTTCAAGATTCTGTTTAATTTCTGTCGTGTACTGGCCATAAAATCTCTCCAATTTCTTGTTGAATTTCATATTCCTGTCGTTAATGTAATCAATGTCTGCATCATCGTTGTGAGTACGCCTTCGACTGTATTTCTCCCTTTTAATTATTCTAAAAAAAAAATATATATATAATAAACAATTCAATATGTATAAAACAAAACTAAAAATTTAGCTCACTGTTTTTCTAAATCTTCGACCATCCTGTCAATCCCTTGCTTGGTGTCTTTATGAAGCCCGTGAAGTATTGTGTTCGGCCCGCCGTAAAAAGCTTCCCCGATCCTTTCCCTCTGCCTGCAGTAATCATCCATATCGGGTTTGATATTTTTGATTAGCCTGTTGTATTGCCTTGCTGTCGCTTGTTCATAATCGGCGAAACCTTGATCGGGGTTCTTCTTCTTTCTCTTCCATTCAAAACGTTCTGCTTCTGATGCACTTATGTTCAACAACTTTACCCGGTCATATTCTTGCCCCTGAAACAATTCATAAATAAAATACACTGAGACTGGAGTCTTAATTACAAATAGAATAATTTTCCAATCAATAATTACACTTTTAATAGCCTCCTCTTTTTGAGCTTCATCATTAATAACCCATTCGGCTCGCATTTGTTTTGCTTCCCAATTAGCAGGAAGCTTTTTTCTCTTGTCTTCCTCAACGACTTCCTTGTGGTTCAACTGTCTTGCTTCATTCTATAAAAAAATAAAATTGCCATTTAAGACTATAATTAAATATATATTAAATGATACATATATAAAATAAATTTGATAATGAACACATGTTAAACCGGCACTGGGACATTTCACTAACAGTTCCTCACTTAAGATGGCCGCTGCCGGTTCAATGTATGTAAAATAGCAATATTTCATATAATTTTGTCTCTAAGGTAAAACAATTCTGATAATACAAGACAACTTCGCTTACATTATCCCTTATTCTTAATATTTACAACTTTATTTATTCACCAATTTTATTTTTATTATATACATTCATTATACATGATTTGGAATAAAAAAGTGGGAAATTAAAATGAGAAGTATGGGTATAGGCGATCAAAGTCACGGTAGCTCAAGTGGTAGAGCATCGGATTATTTATCCGAATATCGTGGGTTCGAATCCCGCCTGTTACACAAATTTTTCATTTAAAAAAAATTGTGTATAATTAAATGAATTTGTTTGTTCAGTTTTCAGTTTTTTCTCCACTGAGTGCTGTATTGAAAACCATGCTTGACACAAATCGGAAAGAAATATCTTGAGGAATTAAAATCCAAATAGGTTCTAAATAGTAAAAATAAGTGAGAATGGCAGGGGGCAGCGTTAATATGTGGATGATCATCTAGAACGCAGAAAGGATCAAGTCCCAAAATCAGATAATCAGAAGCCTTGAACATGTGTACCATTATTCAAACAAATTCTTAATTGAGAGATTTAATCGATTTAGAAGACAAAATTGTAAGATCGTCCAAGAAAGGAAGCGTTTCAAGCATCAATGGATACAGAAATATGAAACACTGAATACACTTATGACCTAACACCACGCAGAAACTTGCAAACATTTTTGAAAAATGATTATTCAGAAATCGTGAGATGCGGTCTGGTGTGATGTGGGTTTCAGAAAAACATTTTCTTTATCGTGCCAACGTTTCGATCTTTATTGAGATCATCCTCAGAGCCTAGGATTTACAAACACTGTTTAAATTTAACAAAAACATGTAGGATGTGGAAAAAAGTGAAAAAACTAATCACCACACATTTTTGAAAAAGCTTTTTTCGCCCAAAGATTGTCACGAGCGATGAAAATTGACAATTTTAATTGAGGGTAGATACTGCCATGTCTGCCTTCCTTTCTGAGAGGTACACCACATCTCTTCCCACTTGTCAATGGCTATCTGAGTATATCGCATCTTGAAGGTACTCGGGATGTTTGCAATTTTCGGCGTTATCGTCCCTCACAGTTTCTTTAGAACAGTCTGCCTCCTGCTGCTTATTCCTACATGAGCTTTGATCCAATGGAAAATTACCTCTCCATCCATTTTGATAATGGTGATCAGCTCTTTCCGAATGGTTTCTAAAGGAAATTCCCTGGGATTTTTTGAAAGCAAACAGGAATACCTGGTTGTGCATTCAAAAAATAAATTTTTTAATTGTCTTATTTTTGTTTAGCTTATTTTGCGTGTGATCCAACGGATACCTTTTAGAATTGCCAGAAATTGCGCCTGGTTATTGGATCGTCTTTCCATATGCTATTTTCAAGGAGGTACTGTATACAAAATAGCCGCAACCAACTTTTTTATCTTGTTTGCTGCCATCTGTGTAAATCGTATACGCCTCACATTCTGATGTAAAATCTGTTTGGATCAGGAGTACTTTCCCAGGGCGAACCTACTTGGATGCATAGCCAAATCTAAGTTGTTTTCATGGTATATTCGGGACACTATCGATGTCATACGTCCAATTTTACTTATAATACCTAATTTAAGTTTTATAGGAATAAAAGCGACAATACAGGCCACTTTGAAGGAGTTGTGTGGGTATGTCAGCAGTGTAGATGGTGTAGAGGATTGGGCCTAGGATTCTTCCTTATGGAACGCCAGCCTTGATTGGCATAATGGGTGAAAAATATCTGGGTGTTACACAAGATAAAACACTGACATTTAAGAAACATATCAGCTCCACCATCAAGAAAGCGAAATGAGCTTTGATGGCATGCGGAAGAATAGCGACAAAAAACGGGGGATGGAGACCGGAAACCCTGTTTTGGATGTACACCATGATAGTAAGACCAACTCATACATAACCTCAGCTCAACAAATAACAAAACGAAGAGAACTCTCAAAAATACAGAAACTTGCATGTATCTGTATAATGGGAGCGAGGAGGTAGTTGGTATCATCCCGCAGTTGGTACGGAGAAGGTATTGGGATTAATCCCCCTACACCAAATGATAATGACAATAGCGCAGAAAATTATTATTAGTATTATTAAAGAGAAACCTCCAACAGGAATAGAGAGATAGCAATAAAATAATGAACAACCGTCCAATACTCTTGGCTCCAAAGGACTATACGAACAGGATGTTTGTTGCATGCAACACACCTACTAACAAACTGTGGTGCTCACTTGCCGCAGGAGGAAGTGCTATGTACACTGTAAATGAAGAAGAAATTCAACCACTGAAACCAGGCCTACTAATCAAGTTCCTTGATGAAATTGGCCACAGAACGGGGTATACAATAGCTTGCTACAACTAATACATCTACGTCTACAATGGGTGAAAAATCGTGCCGATTCTCACTTTAAACCATCGATCCGTCTGGAAGGATTTTAGGATAAGATGGTAGGAACAAGGGAGGATACGTTTTAACTTATAAAGGAGGATTGTAAAACTTGTACTGTAAAGTGTAAAGACGAAAACAGTTCAGCTGACCAAAACAAACGTGAAAACTCACCCTTTTCAGATGCAGCTCTTTAAGCTTCTTCATCCGTTCTATACGCTTTTCTTGGGAGTTCAACGTTTTCCCATGGCCTTCCGAACTCATGTCGATTCTTCCTTTTAGGAAATGAATTTCCACTTTTCAGGAAAACAACCAATAGGTGAAAGGTTACTAAATACAAAGAACAGTTGTCACGTCAAAGCTCTGTATAACCTAACGGATTCTATCGGAAGCAGGAGCGTTTTGCAGCAGAAGCCAGAAGGCCAGTACTCCAGTAGCACATGAGCCGGAGGGGAAGAAGGGAAAACTATACATCAGAATGAAGTTTGACCAGTGTAAAACATATGTTTGCGTTTTGACATCGTAAGGAGTGACGTCCTCTTTTCCAGGGATGCTCTTGCGTTCGGCCCTAAACCTATATCGCTTTTAAATCCTGCTTTCTTTTTAATCCGGGGTAGGTTTTTAGTATTTCGGCATTTATCCGCCTTGTTCGAGAATTGGTTAACACGGTGAAAGTGTCCAAGACTTTCACGCACACTACAAACCGTTTCGGCCGTTTGAGAAAAGAAAAAAATCACGTTCTTCCGACTCTCCTTTAGGTCCGATGTGTGCGAGACGGCCTCAAGACTTATTGGGCTCCGAATCCGTTCGACTTGATTCATTAGGAAGGCGAGTGTTTTTCTTTCAAAATATGGGCTAACGAAAAAAGTTTTCGATATGGCTGTTGTTATTGAAACGACGTTGGGTGACATCACGGTCGATCTGTATACAGATGAAAGACCACAAAGTAAGTCCTGCCTTCTTTCTTTTAATTTAATCCCCCTGACCGTCCGTTCTATTTGTTTGCAGCATGCAAGAATTTCCTCAAGCTCTGCAAAGTGAAATACTACAACTTCTGCCTTTTCCATTCGATCCAGGCCAACTTCATCGCACAAACCGGAGACCCGACTGGTATCGGAACTGGAGGAGAATCTGCATTTGGGTAAGTCTACACAGCACATTCAGCGAGTAAAGACCTTAATCTAAATCTATACAGAACAGGTTTTACCCTCAGAATCCACCCTTTGTGCTTGGCCTGATTTAAAAAACATAAGTTATGAAACGATAAAGTTCATTACAACAGAAACGTTTCTCATAAGAGGACAAAAGTAGTGATACAATGACTGTTCATTAGCATGAGGTTTTATTGTATAATGTGTATGTAATGATTATTTAACATAAATGTAACTTATTAGAGGTTTAGAGGTACTTGCGTGGTGCAACCCTATAATGACATAGATATCCGCTAAGAAAGGATTTTTTCAAATTCCATCCCTAAGGGGATATGGACAATTGTTTACCAAGTATCGACAATGAAAAGGCAGATGGCCTAGCTAAAAAAGGTTCTAATACTGCATTTGTCGGGCCACAACCGGTATTACCTCACTCTATGAGCACAACGAAAGAGAGTATTAATAACTGGGGCATGAAACAATTCCTTAGGGAGTGGAATTTATCCCCTGGACACAGGCAATCGAAAGAGTTTGTTAAGGCGATCAAACCAGCAGAATCGAAATGGCTATTCTCTATCTCAAGGAAGGGAATTAGGAGGCTGATAGGTATTCTGACGGGCCACTGCCCACTGAGAAGACACCTCTCCGTAATGGGTCAACTTCCAGATCCTTTTTGCCGCTTTTGCGAAATAAAAGAAGAAACGGCAAGGCACTACCTCGCAGAGTGTGATAGGTACGCCAGGTATAGATTCGAAACTTTTGAAGGAGAGGACATTACCAAATCACTCCCCGAGATAAAATGGTCCAAAATCTTGGGGTTTGTGAACAAGTCCAAGAGGTTTATGCAGGACACGTGAACAGACCAAGTCCCAGACCCTTTAGGGATGGGGTACGAGTCTACCCAGGCATTTAATCCCTCGGATCTTGGTCTCCCGCCCTGCGTAATATATATAGAGGTTTAGAGACAGACACAGAGATAAACACAGCATCAATTACAGAGCAGACACAAACTCAGCTATAGCTACTGTGATAACCAACCAACGTCAGGATTATGGGGTGGAGACTGGGGTAGAAGTAGACTTACACAGGCAGAGGAAAAGTTAACTTCTATATTAAAAAATTAATAGCTACAGGAGTGGAGGGCTTACGGGAAACAGACTTGTCAAATATTACAATCAGTCCTATTACCCTGGTGGGAGGTCTAGGAGGGATTTAACAATGGTGGGAGAGAAGGGTGTTGGTAAAGTCTTATCTTGGGAAGTCGGTACAAGGGGGAAAGCTTTTAAAATAAAATATTTAGGAATAATTGGAATAAGGGATATTACACTACGCTCATGTCAATAATCAAATTCTGTATCAATAACATACAATACAACATGTAAAACAATCATTACACTCCACATATCAAACAATTCTACATAGTCTAAATCCCCAACAATTTTCTCTCCTTTCCCTAATAATCCTGTCTATAATAATCTTGTAAGGCTAACTAGGCCCGAATGACAAACCATTACCCCTTTTTATCCATTGGCGGTCCCTTTCACCTTAAAGAAGCCGACTCCTCATAGAAAAATGATTCCTATCCCTATTTCCTTCCCCACCCCTTCAAAATCAAACATCTAAACAAAAAACAATATCTCACTAACACTCTCAACTAAGTACACATTTTCCAGGTAGTACTTATGACATCTCCCTAGAAAATGTGAGAATAGATAATCCCAAGAAAGAAAATTGGAAGAAAGCAGCTGAAATAATCACAGAGAAGAAAATCCTCTGGACGATTAACTCTTTCAGCCCATACAAAGCACCGGGAACGGATGGGATCTTTCCCATCCTGCTACAAAAAGGAACGGATATAATTACTCCAACATTGCTGTGATTATATAGAAATAGTTTAGCACTAGGTTACCACAGACATGGCATAGGGCAAAGGTGGTTTTTATACCAAAAGTGGGGAAAAGAGAACCTACATTACCTAAATCCTACAAACCAATAAGCTTAACATCCATTCTGTTAAAGACCCTTGAAAAGCTGATAGACAACCATATAAGAACGACAGCACTGGTAAACAAGCCTCTCCATTAATGTCAGCATGCATACAGAGCAGGAAGATCAACAGAAACTGCACTGTACCAGCTAAACAAGTGACCTAAAGGAAACACTGAAAACAAAGGAAATAGCAACCTGCGCGTTCCTTGATGTTGAGGGAGCCTTCGACAATCCATCCCATGCATCAATACATGGTACACAGATGGATCTAGAACACAAGAAGGTACAGGGGTAGGAGTATTTGGACCTGGAACCAAAACTCAGAACCCATGGGAAAATACACCAGTGTCTTCCAAGCTGAGATTCATGCAATTGAAAGATGTACCCAACTCAACCTAAGTAAAGGGTACAAAAACAAGAATATAACCATCATATCAGATAGCCTATCAGCCATCAAAGCACTAAGTTCAGATATCATTAGTTCAATGATGGTGCTGAACTGCAAAACCAACTAAATATATTAGGTATACAGAACAAAGTCAGCCTCTGCTGGGTCCCAGGACACATGGGAGTAGAAGGCAACGAGAAAGCGGACACCCTTGCAAGGAAAGGGGCTGCTACACCGCTGTTAGGACCTGAACCCTTCTGTGGCATAGGATTCCACACTATTAACGAATATCTCAGACAGAAGGACAAAAAGAAAATGAGGGAACTTTGGAATTCACTCACTGGACATAGACAATCCAAGAATCTTCTAACCAATTTTGGAAGGAAAGAAATTACAGAATGTGTCAAGGGAAGCAGGAACAGACACTGCAAATTAAATGGACACTTAAAGAAATTGGAACAATCCAAGATGGCACATGCAGATTCTGCAAGGAGGCAGAAAAGACACAAACTGCGGAGCTACAATGGATCGCAGGAGGAAATGTTTTGGGATGTATAATGTGACCATAGAAGAGCTTCAACCACTGAAACCAGGCCTATTATTAATCAAGTTTCTTGATGAAATAGGACTCACCGATGTGCTTTAGGCAGAGCACGGGGGATACAATAGCTCTTAAAAGGCGTAGTATACTATACCCTGAAATTACATCTACATCTACAACACTCTCAACATGACACACAATAGTGACACATTTACAAAGAAAACACACTTTGAGTGAGTAAAATTTCTATATTGTATGCATCATTGTACAAATTCATAGTCATATCTTATATTTATTTGTATAATTTAAACAATATTTATAAATCCCAGGCCCTGAAGCTGATCTCAATAAAGATCGAAACATTGGCACGATGAAGAAAATGTTTTTCTAAACCTACTTCTCACCAGACCACATCTCACGATCTCTAAATAATCATTAATTAACATTAAATGCTACATATGTGTATGTAATGTTGTGGGATTTAATTAATTATCTGTTCAAAACCAATTTTGTTGGTAAGCACCGTGAAATGCTTAGAACATCCAAGTCAAGAAAACTTTGTACAAAATGTACTCCACTTAGGAGAAAGTTGGATAAAGCAATATTACAGTGTAATTTGGTCATAAATGATCATTTTGGTTTGCCTTTCCTTGCTGGGTCGGTCTATGAGATGCGTTGTGACACATCTTCAGTGTGCATGTTTGATTTCTGTTACAGGCAGAACAAAATGATATGTTACAACCAAATTACACTGTAACAACATATATGTGTTTTATTGGACATATAATAAAAGTAATTATTTTAATCAATTTATTGTTTTTTTTAGGTTGAGTTGAAAAATTACACTGTAATATTGCTTTATCCATGCCACGTTCTTCTGAGTCGATCACATTTTAGACTGAATGTTTGACAGTGCTTGCCAACAAAATTTGTTTTTATTAGAAAATTAAGACAATTGCACCACACTGTACATAATACAATGAAACGTCTCGCTAAAGAAGTCATCGTGTCACTCCTTTCGTCCTCTTTTGAGAAGTGATCTCTAAAGAAAGAATTTTTTGATAAACTCATAATACAGTCTGTATATTAGTATGTGAAGTGTAGATTTAGAAGTACATTTTCAATGGTTTCACAATCTTCTAAAATTTCCGTAGGTCTCTCGAACTTTCCTTAAAAATCAATCATTTCTTTTAAAGTCAACCTTTGGCTGGTCAGAGCCATTTAAAAATTAGAAATTTGAACTTAAACTGAAAATCATGAAATTAAAAATATCAGAAAGAAAATAAGATTGAACGTATAAGTGAACAAATTTTTGGAAACACTCCAATTCAATGAATATATTTTAATCAAAATTCAACTCTTTAATACTCGGAGATCATTTATACTATCTTTAAAAAAAAGTCAAATTCATTATTTTTCTAATCAATTTACAATTCTGTGAGACATTTAACCGTGTATAAGTCAAATACAACCTTTAACAAATCAAATCCACCTGTTTGCAAGTCAAATTTATAATTTTCTTAAGTCCTGTACAATTCTGTGAGACATTAAACTATGTGTAAGTTAAATACATTTTCTTCCTGATTTTAAGCAATAAATCTCTACTCGGTGCTTGCCCCTTTCCGTATTTTTTAGTGCAGATCATCCACCAGGTCCCGCACCTAGGTTTATTGCAAATACCGTCATCCTAAACAGAGATTGTTGCATATTTTGCTCACCAGTCGGATTCATTGGGCAAATGGCTAAAAAGCTGCGACCGCTGTCCCTATGAGTACAGTCTGTGGAGAATGAAGACCTCAGAACTGTTAGTTAGAGGGTAAGGAGCATTAATGGGAGGTGTTTGATTGTGAGTTCACTGAGTGTCGTCTTAGTATGCTCATATATGTCACCTCTTGCCCCCACTACTACACCCACTGCTTTAAATAAATTTTTGTGGTGTAGCTCTGTGAGGGTTTTCCTCAATACCCTACATTTTTGCGCTTTGAGGTCTACCATCCATTCCACGCCACCGTAAAGTCTAAGATGAATACACCATCCAGTAAGCAGTGAGGAGTTTCGATGGCAACCTGTTTGTCCCAAGCCATGGATTCACATAGTTCCCCCCCAACCCTTGGGCATGTACACCAGTATCGTTTAAACGAAGTTATCACAATTGGGAGATTGATTAATTTAGATGGTAAGAATGTAAGATTGAAATAAAAATGGACAAAGGACTCAAGGTGACTATTGATTGATATACTTAGCACTGAAGATGGCCCAATGAAAAAAATATTTTGATTAGAAAACACACCAACATAAAAATATTAGTAATTTTTTTCTAATTTATTAATTATTATGACATGTTAATAAAATGACATCCTTGTTTAATGCATTTCCTTCTTAGGTGAATTAACAAGTAATTTTAAATTGTTGTTTAGTAACCACTTCTTTATAAGTGAATTTCCTTGTTTTTATCTTTCACTTTATAGTCTTGCCAGTGTGGTAGTTCATTGGGAAAATGCTTTGAAACATTAAAATCGTTCTTATGATCTCAATTTTGTATTTTAGATACTTACATCACTCTGATTTCTTAGGCTATATGGCAAAATGAAGTGTGTAAAATTGAATTTTTATTTTATTTTGTTTTTTATTAGATTGGCTTACGGCATTGATTCGAAATACTATGAGGCTGAAAAGATGCCAAAAATTAAACACAGCAAACCGGGACTTCTGTCCATGGTCAACTGCGGAAACAATATGTAAGTCCTCAAGTTTTATTTACAATTTGTAATAATTAAAATAATTAATTTATAATGCCCGTTTTAGGCTTGGATCACAGTTTTTTGTTACACTAGGAGCTGATCTCCAATCCTTAGAAGAACATTGTGTTTTTGCTGAAGTCACTGAAGGCCATGACATACTTGTTAAATTAAATGATGCTATCTGTGATAACCAGCACAGACCATACCAGGATATAAGGTAACTCAATAATATTAAACAATTATAAAATTTGATTTATAGTTTGTGATAATAATTGATTTTTACGTCTAGAATCACTCATACTGTAATATTAGACGATCCGTTTGAAGATTTACCTGGTTTGGTTGTTCCTTTGGGCTCCCCTGATATATCTCAGCTTCAAGAATTTGTAAGTTTATAATTTATATTGTCCTCACCTCATTTGTTTTGTTTCAAATGTTTAAAAGTGTCTCGAACTTTCAGAACGGTAGGATTGGAGCAGATGAAAAAATAAACGACGAGGAAGGACTGACGGAGGCTCAGTTGCAGGAGATAAAAGCCGACAGAGAAGCAAAAGCTAGGGCCACCATCCTTGAAATCGTCGGCGATTTGCCAGACGCCGATATCGCTCCTCCTGAGAATGTTTTATTTGTATGCAAGTTAAATCCTGTAACAGATGACTCTGATCTGGAGATTATCTTCAGTAGATTTGGAAAGATCAAAAGGTACATCTTATTTTCATATTAATCAATTGAGTTTATAACCGTTATGTAATATTTTTAGTTGTGAAGTAATCAGAGATCACACAACCGGTGATTCGCTTCAGTATGCGTTTGTGGAATTTGAAGATCAAAGAGCCTGTGAACAAGCATACTTAAAAATGGATAATGTTTTAATTGATGACAGGCGTATCCATGTTGATTTTAGCCAGAGTGTCTCTAAGATAAAATGGAGGGGTAAAGGAAGAGGTGTTGAGATTCTAGATAAGGTAATTTAATTTAATTGTTTTATGTACATCTGTTGGTTAATGTGCAATTACATTTTAGATCGATGAGAAGGAAATTGGTCGTGGTGGCGATCGATATGGAAGTAAACGAGATTATTATAGGGACAGAGAAAGGGACAGAGATAGAGAAAGGAGTGACAGAAGGAGGGAAGATGATAGAAGAAGGAGAGGTGACAGAGAATCCGATGAATACAGGAGAAGGGATAGAAGGAAAGACGATGGTCGAAGAAGAGACGAGGAAATGTGGAGGGATGATGATAGATACGAGGAGGACAGGAAGCGAAGAGAATCAAGAGATGACAGACGAAGAGAAGACAGACGGTATGACAATAGTAGGCGAGATGAAAGAAGGAGGGAAGTCGTCTTTATTCTTAAACAAAATATATATATTTAATAAACCAGAAAATGGCATATGCCTACTTGGAACTAGCAAAGCATGGTGTGTTCTGACAAAAAGAATACAATTAAAATTTTAATCTGTTTATTACCCATCAGTAAAATTTATAATAGAACATGTCAGATCAGTCGGTGGACTAAAGATTTTTTGGGATTTAACATTAAAAAAAATTGTCTGTAACTTGTATTGGGGATTAAAATAGATTTATTTTATTTCAAAATGCATTTCATTATGTAATAAAAACAATGGCATTGATCAAATACCATTTAATGCTAAAATGTTGTCCCACTCAAAAATGAGTATAGAAAATTTAGTAATCCCTTTTATGTCAATCACTCAAATCTGCTTTGTTTTTCTTAGAAATAAATAGTGTTTTATTCTTCTTTCTATTTTTACCTTCACTTTCCGAGTTTGAAGAGTTTTCAGAACCATGAGCCTTTTTCTTTTTACTCCTTTTTGAACTGTCCTTCCTCCTTTTCCTGTTGTACTTATCGTGTTTTTTCTTCCTTTTTCTTCTTCGGCTTGCATCCTCAGAATCGTCTGAACTGGAAGAATCGCTTTCACTATCGTCTGAGCTGGCATGCCGCCTTTTTTTAATTACTTTGACAATTTTTTTATATTTAGGCTTTCGTCTTCGCCTGTCTGAGTCTGAACTTTCGGAAAAACTCTCAGAATCTGAAGATTTATTTTTCTTCTTTTTAACTACCTTGACGAGTTTTCCCCGGTGGTAATATTTCTTTGCCACAGTAAGAGACCTTTTTGACCGTTTTNTCATTATGCAACCCCGTACAACACAATAAATGCCTTATACAAACTTGTACTATTTATTCCAGTTTTGACTGATAGTTTTTGCTTTTTACAACTTATATTCGTGGTTATAATCTAAAATAAATCAATTATATTAACCAAGCTCAAAAAGTCAAAATAAATTTTATTGGCACAGAATGTAAAGCTTTTTACAATCCAAATATCTCGGTCGTATTTTCTTTTCAAATGTTTCCCTTTTGAATGTAAAATAAAAATATATTTTAAAAAATCCCAGAATAAGTATGTAATTTTTTTTACAAAGCCTTCAAACGTTTCTCTTCTTAAGCCCTCCCCCAAACTCCTACGAACAAACTGCACAACTGAGGCTGTTGTGCCAACAATTGTATAGTGTATGGTGTTGTTTGGGTGCTGTGCAACTAGTTGCAGAAGTTCAAAACTGCACGAGTGGCATTCTGCAACTGTACTAGAGCAGTACCATTAAAACAAGACAAAAGCAACTGGTGTTTGCAAAAAAATGCTTATAGTGTATGGGGGACTTTGTTTGCACAACAGCCTGTTGTACGACGTACGTTTGCACAATTTGATCGTAAGTGTGTGGGGGGGGGGGGCTTTAGACTTAAATTAAAAAAAACAAAAAAAAAACATTATACTTAAACTAAATCCATTATAAAAAGACAAAAATTAACGAAACCTTTTCCTGAATATGTTTGTTAAATGTTTTACAAAGCCAAACCACACATAAAACTAAATGTTTGCATATTTGATAGTTTCCGTACCCGAAATATTTACCTAATTTACAACGTAATAAATCCCAAATCATATAAATATTGAAAAAAATTGAGTGAATTGTCTTCGGCAGTAGCATAAGGGAAGGGACTCTCTCTACTGTAGCATTAGCAGTGAACGTGTTAGCACATTTTACTTTCAAATCATGTTAAAAATATAGTAAGTTAACAGGCTCTGCCAGGAGGAACCAGAGGCATCGGCATATATCTTTTTCAAACGTAAAGCATTAGCCTGTTTACAGTACAGCCACTTCGGTAGGACATTTCTTTTACCCAAGGAAATCCACAAAGAGGCACCGAGGAAAGTGCTNCCTCAGAATCGTCTGAACTGGAAGAATCGCTTTCACTATCGTCTGAGCTGGCATGCCGCCTTTTTTTAATTACTTTGACAATTTTTTTATATTTAGGCTTTCGTCTACGCCTGTCTGAGTCTGAACTTTCGGAAAAACTCTCAGAATCTGAAGATTTATTTTTCTTCTTTTTAACTACCTTGACGAGTTTTCCCCGGTGGTAATATTTCTTTGCCACAGTAAGAGACCTTTTTGACCGTTTTCTCCGTTCCATTGAAATAGAACTGCTAGACGAAATGCTGCTCTCACTGCTTGAACTTCCTGAAGAAGAACTAACATGCCTTCGCCTTTTCTTTTTTCTTTCGATACTGACTGACTTAGTAGCATCCGTTTTAACAGGACTTTGTGATGCATTGTGTGCTACATCATTTTCAGTAAATCCTGTATCATCTTGTCGAACGTCTGGAGTATGATTAATGTTATTTATTGGTGGTGTGTCCTTGTAATTTGACTTTTCTTTTGTAACATCCATCATTTCAGGCTCTTCGGGCTTCTTGGAGGGTGCTTTCTCTTTAGATGTTTTGACTTCCGATTTTGGCTCAGGTTTCATTTCATGGTGGTCATAGTACTTACTATGGCCTTCTCTTGACCTGTCTTCTTTACTTCCAGAAGAATTCACTTCATCACGCTTCACATCTTTTTCTCTTCTATCTGAGGTTCCATTACGTTTTTTTTCCGAATCCCTTCTTCGATCTATTATAAAGAAGAAAGGATAATTTTAGTTTGTCTTTCTAATAATAATTCTAAATTTAAAAAACTTTGTGAGGCATAACAATGAACCTGCAGCTTCATCATTTCATGTCATCCTCCTTTGTCGGTTTTGTCTGACAGATAGTTTGGTCTCAGCGTTTTGTCACATCACAAGAATAACTTATCTGTAAAGTAGTTACAAAAAAAAATGTAGAAACAATGCTAAACCTGCAATTATCACGAGTTGTGCAAAACTGTGGGTTCTCTATTAAAAAATAATCTGACAAAATAATGATACTCTAGTTTGCAGACTGTTTTTATTTATTTATTTTTGTCAAAATTTATCATCCTGTTTTTTTTAACACATTGACGGTGTCGGGGGAAAAGCGTTACCTTTTTCTAAGGCGGGAACTTTTTTTTACTAATCGGTTTATACAATATTTACCTTGGTATGAATATATGAAGTTTTTTTTTATATTTTAAATTTAAATAAAAAACTAGTGTCATAGTGTATTCAGTGGTAGCATCAGAATAGAGATTCGTTATGCAACCCCGTACAACCAATAAATGCCTTATACAAACTTGTACTATTTATTCCAGTTTTGACTGATAGTTTCTGCTTTTTACAACATATTCATGGTTATAATTTAAAAGAAATTAATTATATTAATCATGCTCAAAAAGTCAAAATAAATTTTATTGGCACAGATTGTAAAGCTTTTTACAATCCAAATATCTCGGTCATATTTTCTTTTCAAATGTTTCCCTTTTCAATGTAAAACGTTTCTCTTCTTAAGCCCTCCCCCATACTCCTACGAACTGTTGTGCCAACAAATGTATAGTGTATGGTGTTGTTTGGGTGCTGTGCAACTAGTTGCAGAAGTTTAAAACTGCACAAGTGGCATTCTGCAACTGTACTAGAGCAGTACCATTAAAACAAGACAAAAGCAACTGGTGTTTGCAAAAAAATGCTTATAGTGTATGGGGGACTTTGTTTGCACAANACCTCAACACATTAACTTATGATTTTTCCTTCTCGAAGGTGGGATAATAGGTCATCTCAAAAAAAAAAAAATAACAACCAGTTTTTCTTTTAATCAACAACGTTCCGGATTTATTTTAATTCTTCCTCAGGTGAGTTAACGCAGTGGTTAGAACAGTGGTCATCAGTCATTAACATTTTGTAACAGTTTATTTTAAAAAAGATTTATAAAAATAACAAAAATAAAAAACGTTTTCCAGAATACATTTGTTAAATGCTTTACAAAGCCAAAGTTAATTGCTCCTCACGAATTGAACAAATTATTATTATTGCTATTATTATTTAGAGATTGTGATGTGGTATGTGTGTAATAAACAAAATAAACAAAAACACACTAATATATCACTAACACTCTCAACATGATGCACAACAGTGACACATCTACACAGAAAGCACACATTGTGTACAAATACTTTGATTAAATCTAAAATTTCTTTATTTTGAACATCATTGTATAAATTCATAGTCATATCGTATATGTATTTGTACAGTTTAAATCAATTATAAATCCCAGGCCTCAATAAAGATTAAAACGTTGGCATTATAAAGAAAATGACACATCACACCAGACCGCATCTCACAATCTCTAAATAATCATTACTTAATGGTCACTAAATATTACACATTGATATTATTAATAAATAAAATTAGTAAATTTTATAATTTTTTTATGATTATAAAATTAAATAATAAAACTTAAAGACTTTTAAAATAAATTTCAGAAAAAATTAGTAAGCAATTTTGTTACTTGATTCAATCCACCTGCAATGCTTTCCATCTCACTCTGTACTTCATTGAAGATGGAAAAGTCAAGCAAGCAGAGTTTTCTAAACCGATGCGAAAATTGTATATTGTGGTGTGAATATTCTTGTTGTGTACTATTGCCAGAAGCAAGTTTGTTCTTTGACTTTGTCAGTTTTCGAATAATTGCGGGCTTGGTGTTAATCGAGAAAGCACTGGGTGGGAGAATCCGTGTAACCGCCATTGCCGTTCGCCCTTGCAGAAGCGAGAGTGCAACAGTTGAGTAACCTCACTCTCATGGGTCAACCGTCTGTCAACGTTGAGTGTCAAACACAACGATAATCAATGTTTGTGTTTAACTCACCGAAATCGCTTTCGTATCAGAGACACGTTGAGTGATGAACAACGTGCACATGCTTGATTTATTTTGTGTTTATTAATTGTGTTTTTCATAATATGAACGCCCTAGGTCTAAGTATGATTTTTAAAATGGGCTGCTTATGCTCTAGAGATGATATCACGATCAACAACAGCAAGTATTATATTTTAGAAGAACTTGGACAAGGGTAAGAGATTTTATATTTGCAAAAAATTTGTTTTTATATGAATTTTTAAAGCTTAACACTATACCAAAAATATAGGGAGTACTTTCTGTAAATTTGTCCTCGTTTTATAATTATCGTAACTTTCCATGTCATAAATTGTAATTAGCATTGGGATAGTTTAGCCATAATATAAAAAATCATGGAAATTTGACAATTTTCAGTGGCTTTAGCACTGTTCTGTTGGTCGAGCATTCCAGGACGAGAAAACGGTTTGCAGTTAAAAAAATAGTTTGTCATGGTCGTGACGATCAGCGAGATGCAGTGCAAGAAATTGAATATCATAAGATGCTGAATCACCCAAACATAATCCCGTGCCTTGAATCATGCGTGATCGGTTGTGCCCATCCTATTCAAAACACTACTAGTCAAGTTTTACTCCTTTTACCATATTACTCTGTAAGTTGATTTTTTTTCTTTGCAATCTGTTCACATAAAATTATTATTTTTTTTTTAAAGAGAGGGACGTTGGCATATTACATTGATTGTAAACGTAAGACAAAACAGTATTTACCAGAAGAAGAAATACTGAGGATTTTCTTGCAAATATGCGATGGAGTAAAAGCTTTCCATGATAACAAACCTATTGCATTGGCCCACCGGGATATAAAACCTGCTAACATTTTATTGGATGCTGATAACACTCCTGTGATAATGGATCTTGGCATGTGGTTTAAAAAAAAACTTTGATTTATTTTATTAATTTTTAATGATTTTATCTTTCAGGTTCAGTAGCTCCAGCATGTGTTAAAGTTTGTGGCAGCACAGAGGCGCAAAGGCTACAGGATACAGCCAGTGAAAGGTGTTCAATGCCGTACCGGGCGCCGGAGTTGTTCAATGTAGAAAGTTATTGCATGATAGATCAAAGGACTGATATATGGGTAAATGCCAACCAAATACATACAGTTATACAGAACTATTTTCCAAAATTTACAAGGTTTCAGTGAAAATAAATATTGACAATAGATTAAGAAGGAAAGATAACATACATATTAAATTTATTATTAGCCTTTTCATCTTGATTTATAAGCAGAATATCTTATTATCTACAAATATAATTTCACAAATTTCTTTTTCAGTCACTCGGCTGTTTATTTTATGCTATGTGCTATTTTAAATCGCCTTATGATGCTGTATATGAAAGAGGAGATTCGGTTGCTCTGGCAGTAATAAATGGAACAATTGATTTCCCTACGATTTCTCCATTTAGCCAAGTATACAAAATATGCTTATAATGGCATAAATGCGTATTAAAATTAAAACTGTTTTTAGGATATGCACGATTTAATAAGAATGATGCTGAAAGTTTCACCGATGGAGAGACCGTACATTTATACTGTTATTGAAAGGACGCAAGAACTTTTGCAGAAACATAAAATAGTTGCATAACTGACCAAAAGTTTTAAACAGATATATTTTAAAATGTAAATACGAAAATAAAAAGTTTTATTACAAGTAATTTTTTAAATTAAATGTTGTTTAATTTTATAATTCAGTGCAGATCATTTGTAAAGTTTGAAATATATATAAATTTAATGTAAATGGAATTTAAAAGATAAAATTGTGATTTATAAGAAACACGTTTTCTTACAATGGAACGAAAATATTTATTTGTGTGAATAATAAATTGTTTATATTTAGTTTAATTTGTGCATAGCCCTTGTTATTTACTGAAAAATGACAACTGCAAGCTAAACGTTTTCCAAATATTTCCTTTTTTGTTATATTTACCTATATTTTTGTTATAAGTTATGTACATACATTTTAATTGTAATATGTTATTCTCATAAATACAGGGGTGTATGAATGTCGATAACAAACATATCTGTATGATATGATTTACTAAAATTCCATTGATTATTGTTTAAAAAATATCTGCTATAAAAAAATCAAATTTATAATACAAAATTGTAATTAGACATTATCTATAATCTGCTTATTCTTACTACGTTGATCTGTCAGACGTGTTTCAACAATAGGCCATCTTCACTGAGTCTGTATCGATCATCAAAGATTGTGAAATGTTGAAACATGGGTGACAGACAAACAGTAAGGATAGGCAGGATTATTGGTAATGGCCAAATTACAGGTACATCACGCTATGGACCACACTGAGTAAAATAATTTTACTATTATTACCAATAAAATAATTTTTTTACCTATTTTCCAAAAGTACAAATTTACAATTTTTTTTTAAACTAGCCTAGTGTTATGGTGCTTCGCGTTACTCATGTCTCATATAGATATATGCACCACGTCAACTGTAAAATGAAATATTTCTGTGAGTCTGTCCACTACAAAACCACTGATTGCAAGTTGATCTGACCAAAAGATATGGAAATCGTAATAATGAAATAAGAAAACTCCTGGTACTAAAATGTAATCAGGTAACAATGTGGCTTCGAGGGGACTGAAGGCAATGAACATGCTGACAAACGAGCAGAAGCAGGAACAGCCTTCACACCGTTTGGACCGGAACTGCAAATTCTCATGCCCCAAAGCATTCTAAAGGATCTACAGCCTTAATTATCTCCTAAGAAAGAGGAATACTAGAAAGTGCTAAACAACCTTAGTGGTAGTGCACTTTTTGGGTTTGGAAATAAAGGATGCTCAATTCAATAATATATTTTTTCAGGTCGTATTGAGAACGATAGGTCACCAATGAATTAAAAAAGAGGATACTGATTAAAATTTTGCAAAAATAACCAGCACATGCCTTAAAAATTCATCGAACAAAACGTCATATTGATACCAGAAGAGGCTCAAGTTTGTTGGGTTATGTCCACACAGACCCAGCTATGCGGACTGATTATATAAGTTTAAAAAAAAAAGAAGACAAAAAATTTCCATATTAACTAATAATAACGATAATGTAATACTTAAAAATTACTCAATTTGTAGTGTATGTTGAAACAGGAAACACAACTATCCATAGCACAATCTCAGGGCACCACAGGGATGAGTATTAGGCCCCACTCGACTCTTGATTTATTGTAACAAAATTTCTTAAGATAGTAGACCTAAATTTAAACATTATTTGCTGATGACGCAGCACTTTTACATCTTCCTGGGGTTTTACTACTGTGGGAATAGATTACTACAAAAATAAATAAGTTTTTCGACAAGTGGCGAATTAGGATCAACTCTGCTAAGACAGAGGCTATCTTTACAAAACGTAGACCTTGAGTACACGGATATAACTTTAAGAGATGTCATAGTGCCTTGGTCACTATAAGTTAAATATCTTAGAATATGGTTGGACAGTAAGTTCAATTTTACCACCTATTTTATATAATTGTTTTTTAGGGTTTTCTAACACTTTTTGATTTTTTAAATTTACAATAAATCAAAAAGTTAAATGAAAATTATTTTGTTATCATTTCTAACTTTATAGAAAGTACCTTTTTTTCATTTTTTGCCAACATTTTGACCTTTATTCGGGTCACCAGGGCATAAAGTGTGATGCTATTCTTGTGGTGCCATATTTTATATACCATAGGATTAACACCACACTTTATGCTTTGAAGATGACTCAAAATAAATGTCGAAATGTGGGCAAAAAAATGAGAAAGGAGTTTTCCTAAAATACTTTAATCCTGACCGCTCCTCATGATTTTAACAAATTATCGAATAACTGATCACTAAAAAACATAAAAATTATAAACAATTAAATACAAGTTTACAAACAAAAAAGTATTGTCGCAAATAGTTTGGGAGATGACCATTCCCCTTCATCAAGTAGCCACTTCCTTATTATTAATAACAAAAACAATTAAAACATCTAAAATATTTTAAATGATACAATTAATGTATTATGTTTTTAATTGGTACTATTGTTGAATCAGAACGCTTATTCAGTGATTTATAATTTTATGTAAAGTGGAGCTGAGATGAATCGATTAGTTACCACACTTTACATAAAATTATAACTCACTGATACAATTAATCATATTCAAACATTCCACCCACTTGTGGTAAACGCCTCGTACATTCATTCCTCATTTTCACTATTCTGAAAACCAATGATTTTTCTATTTTAACTAACTCTAAACTGTTTTTACTTATTTAAAAACTATTTATTTAAGACAACTTTTATACTTTTTGGCAGGTAATACAAAAAAATAGCATATACTGCGTAATATACAAAATAGCTAGAAAAGCCATAAACAAAACAATCATATAAATATAAGTTAATCTAGCATAAACCAAAAACAGTTTATTTGGAAAAGATTTACTTGGAAATAAAGTCAAAATTTGGGAATGAATGATTTAAAAAAGTAAGTTTAAAAGTAAAATATGTTTTTACTACAACAAAAAGAATTACAGAAATTATTTTTACAAAAATAAAGAGTTTTACACAATTTACCTGACCAAGCCTGATAATTAAATTACATGTTGCTAAAAATTTTATTTACATAATTTGGACGGAAAACCTGATAATTGTTGAGTTTTTTTGGGGGGGGGGGTATTAGGGTTGTTATGATCTTATGTACATAGATTATATAGATTTGGATTTACCTCCCACAAAGAAACAGTTGTATGCAGAAAAAATATCGCTAGGACATATAAAGCTAAAGTTTATATTTTTTTAAGCTTACAAAAACAAAATTTCAATACAGTAAATAAAATATGACTGAAAAACCTTTGGGTAGTGTGATTGAAAAATATGATTAAGAATACAAACATTGGTAAAGGTAAAACCCAAAAATAACATTACAGGAAAAAGAAGTTAGTCCAAATTGTAAACTTATATATTGATGCTATACGTCAATAGTAACAAATTAATATACAAACATTGCAGACTCATTAAAAAAAAAAAATTATCTGCTACAAATGACAGGCAATTAAGAAATATCTTTTTTCCCTCACAGGCGATTATCCTACAAGTACTTTGAGACTAAAAGAGTCACAGGGAAGATAAGAAGTGTTGAGAAGATGGTTGAAGCACTGTTGCAGCTATCTTCGTCGCAGTAGGAGCATGATTCAACCCTGATATGTGGGCCGAGTAAGTGTTGTGAGCACGGACTTTCACCTTCATTTACCCAAGTGCATGATCTTACTGTTACCAAGTTATCATCATTGGAACCTAAAATAATATTCAACAAACATATTAAAAACATTATTTAGAAATATATTTGGATATGCAGGAACCTCAATCCATTGTGTACCAACTATAGTAAGAAATAGGAGAACATTTCTTTTTTTTATTTTATTTAATTATATGAGTTATTTAATAGGTTTTTTTACCTATTAAAGATAATTTATAGAGTACTTGCTTAACAGGTAATAATTAGCCAGTTTCCTCCTAGTAGTATTGCTATACTGGTTACTCGCCTATGGATAAGAAGATCAGGATGATCAAGAATGACCTATGTCCTATAATTTTTTAAAAGAATAATAATCATCATAAGGATGATAAGTTGCTATTCTTTGTAGACATTGTTTTTGTTTTATAAATCTGCAGTGTTTCCCCCCCCCCACCATTGTGACCAGGGATTTGACCGTTGTGATGTATAACCAATACACCAGGCTTTTGTTTATTTTCCAGCCAATATAATAGTAACTTAGGTTTGTACCCGTTCTTTGCATTGTCATTTCAATGACTCTTTATGAGCTTGTTATACAGCAACAGAACACTCCTTTATCTTCTAATGATTTGTCTTTATGCTCTACCAGTTGTTCAGGGCTGGCAAGTATACATTGTGTCTTTTATGTTATGACTTCACTAGTCACCTATGTTCTTTGTTCCAATATTACTCCTTGTATCTTCATTTTTTGAAAATTGTTTTGCTAGGTATATTTCTTTGAGTTCCTTTGAGTGTAAGAAGTCTGTCAAAGTGTTTGACTGATTTCCATACATCAAGGAGGGCCTTTGTTTTTTTAAATTTATTCATTTGTTATTTAGTATTTATTTAATCGACAAGATGTTTATAAGAAAACTTTCATTTTTTTATATTTTCCATTTTTTTATTTGGCAAACAACCCCAGATAATTTTATGTAAGTATTTTTCTTTTATAGTTCAACTTTTATGTTATCCATTTCAAGTGCTTATTTTACTTGATTATTCAATTTTGAAGTTTTAAGGGGGAAGTTCTAACAAGATGATAATTAATTTCTTACATATATATCACATTTACAAATTACATTTTCTCTAGCCTGAAAAGGTGCACCGTTGAGATAAAGCAGATTTTTGATTTTGAATAACCACCTTAACCCGACCAATGACAAACCTTTAGACCTGTCCTTAGTTAGGTTAAACATATTAAAATCTAGGTAAAGTTCCTTATAGAATAAAAAACACAAGGTTGATCTGACTTGTTCACGAAATTCCTCACTGAAATTCACAGTTTTGTTATAATTTCCTTAAACAGCAAAGACCACTCATTCATGTTATTTATAGAAAATGATGTAATTTGTTCATTATGCAATGACCATGTTAAAGAAGACATAGGGCATTTTATTGCAAAATGCACTATCCTATTGGAGATTTGACTTCTGCATCTAAATTTTGTTAAATTGAATAAGACACAGCTTATTGACTTGTTGCTTAATGATTACAAAAATTTAATCAAGGATGCGCGCCATGCTTGGCACTATCGCCAAGAGTTAATATTAGAATTTAATTTTTGAATATTTTAAAGCCTTTTCATTCCAAATTGCTGGCCCAAATAATTTATAAATCTATACTTATTGTAAATTAAACAACGAACAAAATTATGGTTTATAAAGTTTGTTAGTAATTAATGTAATTATTAAAAATTAAATTATTAATTATAATATTTATTTAATGATCAATTTTTTCTTTTTTTATATCTTTTTTTATTGTTTTATTTTGTTCTTTTTTCTCTGTGCCGACCTAAAATTTAAGTCAAATGTAAATCAACCTCCAGCAGACGGATCCCCATGCCGTGCCATTTATAACTTTTCTTTTTTTTGCAATAAAATTTATATTATTATTATATATCACATTTGGCAAAATTATAATTTAGATTGTCGAATAAATCAAGCAACTTAAGTTGTTATTAGTTCAGGAATAATAGGGTGCCTCTTTTCATACACCATGCAGTATCACAAACAATATAATTCAACATTAAGAAAACCCTTAATTAAAGACAGCCAAAAGATTAACTGTAATTAACTACATAGAAATGAATAAAAAAGAAAAGCAGCTGAAAGCTCATTAAAAAACCCAAGAAATGTAAAGGAAATTGGAAAACAATTAGGAGAAGATAAGGAAAAAGGTTGTACAGAAGAAGCAAAATAAAATTAACAAAGCTTGATGAGGGGACTGGAAAAAACTTAGGAGCTGAAAATGAATTAACAAATAAAAATATAAAAATCAACTGATTAAAGTTTATTTTAAAAAACCTTGAAAAATAAAGGAAATTAGAAAACAACCAAAGAAAGGGAGAAGAAAAAATATACATATAGTAGATATGAATAGGAGAAATCTATGTACAAAATAAAATTAACAAAGCCCGATGAGGGGACCGGTAGAAATTAGGAATATGCTATTTGTAATTAAAAAATATAAAAATCAACTGGTTGAAAGTGGTAAGAGGAAAAATGAAAACTAAGAAGGATAAATAAAAAATACAAAGAAAGGGAAAAGAGAAAAAAGAAAGATAAATAAATTGTAGTCAAGAACAGGTCAAACCAATAAAATTAACAAAACCTGATGTGAGGAAAGAAATTAGTACACAAAAATGCATTATCCAATAAAAATATAAAAATCATCTAGTTAAAAGTTCATTTAAAAACTAAGAAGGAAAAAGAAAAAATATAAAGAAAAGTTTAAGAGAAAGAAGAAAGATAAATAAATTATAGACAAGAACAGATCAAACCAATAAATTTAACAAAACCTGAAGAGGGGAAGGGAAGGAAATTAGCACTTGAAAATGCAATAGCCAATAAAAATATAAAAATCATCTAATTAAAATTCATTTAACAAACCAAGAAACACAAAGGAAATTAGAAAACAACCAAAGAAAGGGAGAAGAGAAAGACAAATTATACACATCTTAGATACAAACAGGAGAAATCCACAATATACAATTAACATAGCCTGACGAAGAGAAAGAAAAGAATAAATAAAATTTTACTCGACTACATTGATATTGGTTATTGTATTTTGACCATTTTCCATGTTTTTCAACCACTAACATGAACCTGATTGAAAGCTCATTAATAACAACCCAACGACCATAAATTAAATTAGAAAACACCCTAAGAAAAGGAGTAGAGAAAGAAGAAAGGGTTATACATTGTAGACAAGAACTAAAGAAACCAACAAGATAATATTAACAAAACCTGATAAGGGGACTGAAAGAAAATTAGGACTCAAAACACCATCAGTAAATAAAAAAAAAGTCAAGTGGTTGAAACTTCATTTAAAAAAAAACATGAAACATAAAGGAAATTAGAAAACACCCTAAGAGAAAGAAGAAAGGGTTATACATCTAGACAAGAACATGAGAAATCAACATGACAAAATTTATAAAATTTTATGAAGGGATTAGAAAAAAAGTAAAAACGGTAAAAAAGTAAATAAAAATATAAAAAGATAACTGGTGGAAAGTTTATTTAAAAAAAATAAGAACCAAGAAACAAAGAAAATAGAAAACAACCGTAAAGAGGATAATATAAAGAAGAAAGGCATGTACAACATAGACAAGAACGGAAAAGGCAACAAGATAAAACTAACATTTTCTGATGAGTAGAAAGAAATAAGAAAAACGAAATTGTAATGGACTAATTGAATTCCGACCATGTTTTCGCATAATTTCACAATATGTAATCCCAGTGTCTCTATTTTTATTCCTTACAAAGAATGACTTCATTTATGATAAAGGTCGGCCTCAGAGAAACAACATATCCAGGTAAAACAAAAACAAAAAATTAACGAGGATTTCAAAAAGGCCGTCATTGTCTTCTGGGATGACTCAGATAGACGCACCTCTTTTCGGGCACGGCGTAAATATCAATTGGACAATAATGAGATTCTGTTTGAAGACAAATGTTTCCCAACTCTCCACCAACACATGTTCCAACAACTAGGGCACTAATGTGAAGGCTGAAAAAGATGACTTATCGTCAAAATGAACTGCCGGGTTATGTTTCGTAACTGCGTTTAAGATGGCATCACAGCGGTTTGTCTCTTCCAAAAACCGCTGACAACTTTGTAAAACTATTGCAAAAACTGTACCTCTTATATAAGAGATGTTACTCTTAAATCAAAGATTTATTCATAATTGTTGAGAATCCCTAATCAAAAACTAAACTAGAAACAGAAACAGTTTGATACCAATATAAAAAAAAGTACAATGGACAGCAACACTTTTTCTTAAAGATGTTAAGGCCAGCTAATAGTGATAACGTTTTTTTAATACATCATTATTTTTTACGATGTGCTGATATGAATTTTTACGATTACTGCAATGAAAGTAATGAACTTTCTAGAAATAATGAATGATGGAGTGAGTGCGGTGTTCAATCCTTTTTTTTTTTTAAAGATAGTTCCTATTCACAGTAAGGGTGACCTTACTGTGAGTAGGAACTATCTTTTTTAAAAAAAGGAATGAACTTTCTCTTATTCAATCTTGTGTAAATGGTGTAAATTTGGTAGTTGTTCCTGTCCCAGTTATCTATTGACATGTCTTTCGCTTTATAAACTATTTAATAGATGTCCCTCCTGTGTGATCTAGATAGCCTCGGGTCAGCTCGCCATTTCTCTTCTTCCTACTAATTTACTCAGCCTGTCCGCACTAATTACCGTGGCGTCTACGTCAATCTTAATATCCTTAATAAGGGTAGAGCTACTTTCAAGTGTTGTCATTCTTATATATTTTCCATAGGCCACATAGTTTCTTTGTCATTTCCTCCGGTGCCGTCATCGAGACAATTCGATTGTCAAATTGTCAAAAGGCATTCGGTAATATTTTGTAATCCACCGCATTTTCAGTGGAAAAGATTTATTGCGGTCTTGCTCATTCTTCGCCGCACACCGTGGCATGGCGCTCATTCTCAACATGCGTAAAATCGATCCGGCCTTCGCGGTCTGCCACAGTGGCCGATATCTTCACTTCAATATAACTATTGAAAAATATTAGCTATTTCTGAAATGTAAACAGGGTAAAAAAGTCGTTATTTTTAAAAAATCATGGCCACTCTTTATAGCCGATGAAATCTCGATAGATAAGTACTTCAGCCAAACTTCTTTAGTCCTTTTTTCATCTCAATTAGAATTATTACTTTAATTTCTTGGCAAGGAAATTCAATAAAGACAAGAAAGGCAAGATAAGCGTGGCAGAGACATCCTTTGATCAAAGTGCCGATAACAGTTCAATTAGCACAAGACCATCCAGCTAGATTACATACGCATATAGTACGCGACATATTATGTTGTCGTCCTTATCTAACTTATAAATATAATAAACTATTGTTTTACTACAATAGACCATTTTATTAGTGAAATCTATTCCCGAAGAAATATAAGTTTGGGTGAGTATTAAAATTTTCAATTGTGCATCTAAAAAGGCTTTTAAGTTAGCAAATCTGACGGTTCAATAATTGAAAAAGATGGTTTTACTCACAAACCGTTTAAAAAGTTGTACATCTCGTTCTGACAAATTCGTTTATAGAGCTGTTCTATTAATTTAGCTCGTTCTTTAGCGGGAATAATCATAAATAAATTGGTAACGTCAAATGACACTAAAACCCAAACATTAGATAAATTTATTTAATTTAAACTTAGGCAACACCGAAATTAGGTTTGATCTTAATTCAATTAATTAAGGTTTTTAGTTGAGATAAAAAAGGCAGGGTCACGAGGGGGATTCGAACCCACGATCTTCGGCTAGATACGCCGCTGCTCTACTACTTGAGCTATCGTCACTTCGATCCACTCGGCCACTAAGTGGTAGAGCAGCGGCGTATCTAGCCAAAGATCGTGGGTTCGAATCCCGCTCGTGACCCTGCCTTTTTTTATCTCAACTAAAAACCTTAATTAATTGAAAGATATTAACTGGTCAAGCGGACCACGAAAACTAGTGAATTTGATCTTAATGTTGAGTTTAATGTGTGGTGATTAGTGACCGTTAATCGATAATTATTCAGAAATCGTGAGATGTGGTCTGGTGTGATGTAGGTTTCAGAAAAACATTTTCTTTATCGTGCCAACGTTTCGATCTTTATTGAGATCATCTTCAGGGCCTTGTGTTGTCTGCATTTCANTTTTCTTTATCGTGCCAACGTTTCGATCTTTATTGAGATCATCTTCAGGGCTCAAAGTGTTTGTCTTCTGTGTAATTGTGCCATTCTTGCGTGTCATGTTGACAGGTCACTCACGAAAGACAAACACTTTGAGCCCTGGAGATGATCTCAATAAAAGATCGAAACGTTGGCACGATAAAGAAAATGTTTTTCTGAAACCTACATCACACCAGACCACATCTCACGATTTCTGAATAATTGTTGATTCTAATTTTTTTTGTCTATAGTTGTTTGTGGCATGGAGAATTATAAAATGACACTACTGGTCTTATTGGTTTATTTTCTTTTGGCTTTACCTTATAAAATTTGCGTTTTCGAGTTTGTTAACTTCTTAATGATCATTAAAAAAAAATAGTTGAAAGTTTTTATTTCTTTACAAACATTGTTTACAAACTGTTCAACTTTAAGAATGCATTTTTGGTGCTCAATATTAGCTTTACTATCTCCCTTATTGGCTTTTAATATAACGTTGCTGTTACTTTTTATTTTTTTAGCACTGACCTAATTGTCTGTGGGATGTTCAATTTTTTCTTTAGATTTATCAAGTCTGGTTTTAGAACTTCTGCGCATTTATTATTTATATTTGTTTTTCTATTACTACAAACAAGCGTTGAACCGAGAGATAGTAATTTCGTTTTGTGTTAGTAGTTTAGTCATGTTTTTGGAACAAACTTTTAACCTGTATTTAATACATTGTTTTCCTCTTGGTTAAGTTGGTTACCTCTGTGTTAAGTGTGTCTTTATGAGTATTATTAAGTTTGGAACTTGGTAGTTTTTAAGTTTTTTTGGTAGTTCTTTCAAGTTTTTAATATTCGAACTTATCCTTATCTTTAATTTAGGAAGAAAATATTTCTGGGTGAAGTTTAATTTCAACCATTGTGAATTGAACCAGATTTATTTGTTGAACTGATGAAAATCTTAACTTGTAATAAAGTTTTAATAATTTTTTACTACCTGATTAAAAAAAGGCTGATAGTGTTAAAAATTTGACTAGCAACTATTCTTTTAATTATATATTCACTCCACCATAGCCATTTTTATTAATCTGATGGTTTTTTTAACGTCGCACAAATGTTAGTATTCTATTTGGCAAGACTTTATTTTTTCTTTTGTAATTAAGTAATCTTGTTTCCTTGGCTGAATATATCAGAAATAACCTAACTTCTAATTAGAAAAGAAAATCCCAAGAAAAAAAGGCAGGAATCGAACCCAGGATCATCGCCTGCGCAAATATAAGAAAGGATGGCTAGGGTTTTTTGTATTATTAAGTAATAGAGTTGTTTTTAAGACAATTAAGCCGTGGAATCATGCCGGCCGTGGCACGTAAGAAACAAAAACAGCAAATTTAGAAGGAAGCTCGACATCCGTTCAGATCTTTTTACAGATCTTTAAGAAACTGTCCTTACGTCGACAAATTATCTTTGTGAGTCTTAAGGGCATTACAAGGCCGTAATAAACGATGATTCTTTTTGATAAAATATTTTAGGATTGATGTATAAAAAGCAGACCTTATTTGGATTTTCAGTTCTTAACTGGGTTGGTTTATTTGTCGATTTTTAGTTCGATTAGAGTTAGTTGAAAGGGAAGGGGTTAATAAATGATCTTTTTGTTTAATTAGATCCGGCTTCTTTTGTTGGGCTATTAAGGGTTAAGAGAAGACCAAAGTGGACAATTGGTTAGGAACACGAGACAAAACATAAGAAGAGCCCTATTCGGACGGGAGGAAACTACTTTTTAACCACCCACACGGCTCATCGGGTTAATTTTCATCGCCTTCCGGTCAGTTTGTCTAGGGACCCAGGGGGTTGTTTGCTCCTTTGGATTTTTTTCTAATAACCAACGGTATCGAAAATGAGCGGATGGCCGGTCCTGCTTTTATTCAACGGCCAAACAATGAGCAATGCATAAGGGACACGTTTCTCATGGTACATTGACGGATATTCACAAAAGGAGGAAAAGCGGAAAAAGTACGCCAGGAAAGTTGGAAATTACTGGCACAAAAGGGAAACAATCTAGAAAGCTTTTTTATCCAGATTTTTTAACATTGTTAAAATAAGAGAAAATACTTTCCAATATAGAAAATCCTAAATTTCTAACTTTTGCTTTAATCAAATCGGATCAAAGGTTCCACATATTCAAAATATGACTTACCGCCGTAAGACTTGAATTTCCTGCAGAAAGGTATTTTCCCAGAGTAAGACGAAGGGGCTTTCGATCGGTCGCAATCGGTTAGTACAAACCTGCTGAAACATATTGAAGCTTATAACAGACATTTGTATAAAAAATATTTTATTGTTGTATAACTTTTCGGAAGAATTCCGCAACAACGTGTTTTTGAGAAAGACAAGATTGGCGGAATTGTCAGCCCACACAAAGTACATTTACGACGTAGCGTGTTTTAAATTAAAGGTTCAATTGAAATATTTACAGAAAACGAGCTAAGAGGCAAGTTTCGTGCCATGTTTCATGATCACGTTTGAGAATGATATGAAAATATGAGCAAAATTCCTGTTTAAGACGAGACGAGTTCATTTAAAAAGGACAACCACCCTTTAAAACAAAAATAGCAAATAAGTAAAACAAGAACAGCAAAAACTATCTTATTCGAACACTATTGGTATTTACTATATTACATTATTCATCAAGCTATTATTTTAAAATGCACAACAAATTATAAAATGAAATAAAAATTACGAGTGTGCTCTTTTGGTGAAAGGATCACTGCACGTCGACTCCCGGTCACTCGAACAGACGTAGCAATGAAGACTCATTCCTGAAAACATAAAAATTAAAAATCATTACAAAACTTTGGAAGTCAAAGTTAATAAAAGAATTAGACAAATCGAGTGATTATATACATTTAATTTTTGCCAGTGATTGTTCAGTGGACGGGGAGGATTATTTTGAAGGGTGCGGGATGAAAGGTGTCTGACTGTTCATGTGACTCGGATAATTGTTTGTGAAACTTCTAATTTTTGGCTATCTAAACGGCATATTAGATATTTAGGTCATAGTGAATTGATAAGATTGGTTACATCGAAAGTATTATCGACGATGGTTCGGAGGATTTTGGATTGTACGGATTGGATACGTTGGAGGGTGGAAGGTATGTCCAAATGGGTCACAGAATCGTGATATTAATCAGGCATTTGTTTTGAAGTTTTTGATCGTTTGTTAAAAAGTGTTAGAAGCGTCTGACTTTTTAAAAATATTGAACAACACACTCACTCCTCCATTTACCATTTCTAGAAGCGTCTGTTGTTATTGACTTTTAAATTGCGTGTGTTCCAAGTGGACTCTACATTAGAGATGGATATATGTCCAGAGCAATAGAGAGGAATCACTGATGACTTGAAAGCATATGCTTGTCAAGTAGGATTTTAGGATCATGTTGCAGTCCCGGGTGCCATGCCCGTTCGAAAGCTTCCTTCGAAAAAAGAATTCAACGGAGCAGCACTCTTCTAGCTCAATAGCTGTAGCTATGTCTACTACTCGATGGCACTGCTAAGTAATAGAATGAGGTTACAACCCAAAATGGTAGTCAGGGATAAGATTGCGGAAATGCAGGATGGAGAGAATGTGCAATTCTCCTCAGATTTTGCTAATTATAAGCAAGGACTGTACGATAGGAAAATGGATGCTATGAGGTTTTTAGACTTCAGAATCATACGTTTATTAATTTGTTTATTTACACCTGTGCGTGGAACTACTCAATAGTAGGGTCTCCTGTGTAATCACTCTGTCACATAAGCGGTCGCGAGATATAGTTTTCAAATTAAAGAAACTTGGGTGTTTTTAGCCGTTGGCTAAGAAACTGAAAGACAGCAGTTGTGATGCAACAAATGTGTTTTTTCATGGTAATAAAAAGGCTAAAGACTAAATCGTATTTAATATTGCCTATCCAACATTTCCTTCCATCTCTTTCCTTTATCGAGGAACGAAAATATGTTCCAGACAATTAACACTGATTATGAGAATTCTACACAAAGACAATAGTTTTTTTTCCGGGCTGAGACATATTGAAACAACGTTTGATCCTGTGTACAGAAAACTCCACATCTTAGACCGCCATGAAGTGCTTAACACCGATTTCTACGGAGTTTTTCACGCGATTTGTCCAATTCATAAACGGGGTGACTTTTCTTTTACGAGCTTCGAAACGGCGCTGGGCAGAAATAATCTGATTTTCCTTCGCATGGTTATCGTCGCCGTTTCATTGTTCCTTTTTTTAGTTATTTATTGCTTTCCTATTGAGTCATAGCTTCTGAACAAGCACGTTTACTGCAAGACTTACAAACGCGTAACGAGAAATATAACAAAGCGACGCCTGGCAAGACTGTGTAAAAAAGGCAAATATATGTAAATGTGTGCAATCTTTTTTTTATATTTTTTACTTAAAAAAGAAGGTCATGTTAGGTTATGTTGTCGTATTGTAATTGGCATCGTAGCTAAGTATATTTATATATTTAAGAAAAAAATGCAAAGTTGTCAATAACCAATGGTGTATCATGGTGACTCCTTATCACCTGGTACTTGCCATTTGTTCTGATTTTTCACAAATTATCCTAGTTCTAACAGAGAACTTATATTATTGTATTAATTTAGACGTGAATATACTATTTAAACATTTTTTTATAGAGAAAATTCCCCCCTCCCATCACCATTAAATGCATGCCTCTTTTGAAATTCTCTTTTTAGCCTACTTAGATTTTTTTGCCAATTGAACACTAGGATAATATAATAACGTCTAATATTTTTCAACCTTGTAACACTCACGAAGTTTAACTTCGTGAATGTTACAGTTAAAAAAAAACACTGATTAATCAAAAATGTGTAATTTGCCCTACGTTTCGAGCCTATATGGGTCCTTTTTCAAGGCACAGGACATTTAAGTTATGGTTGTAAATGATATATCAATATGTCATGGATCAATTTTTTCCTTTAAAAAAAAAAAAAATTAAAAAGGCGGAGGACTTAACACTTTGAAATCATAAAATAGCATTGGAATTTTCAAAAAATGGTTTTGAACATTGACACAATTTTAGTAGATTTTTTAAAGCTTATGTATTTATTTTTTGCTACTTCGCTCCGTGGGTCTGGCACAAAATAATTATTATGTATCCTATTTCTTATTTGATATATATTTGATATCTTTATTTTCGTGTTTTATCAAAGTAGGTTAAAATATTTCTTTTTTGAACAAGAAACAAGGTTGATATTCGTTTTGTGCACCTGAACACGCAATTTTGAGAAAAAATGTGTCAAGTTGTTTGTTTTTCACGTGCTTTCGATTTTTTCGAAAACCACAAAAATTATAATAACTTTGAAACTACTTCACCATTATACACTAAACTTTATGAGAATTTAAAACTTTATAATCTACTTGTAATGTCATAAATCTTGCTTTCGTATCTAAATTGAACCTGAGATATAAAATGAAATGTTAGATGTGGTTTGGTTGAATTTATCCTTATTTTTTCACTTATAATGACATACAACATTAGATTTAAAAAATTGAAATACATGTACAACAAAGGCAGAAAAACAAATTAAAAAAATAACGCAAAAAATTTTTTTTTCTGTTCCTGAACGCTTCGGCAAGAATGCTTAGGCATGTCTAATATTTTTCGACCTATTGTCATCAAAAAATATTTAATTTAAATTGGTGATCCTACTTAGCCGATAACTTTGAAACCACATCACTGATCTACAGGAAGCTTTAAAGGGTTAAACTTTATTTAGAAGTAAATATTAGAAGTATATATTAGAAGATTATAAAATATACGTGGTGGCACAAACCCAACCTCCGTTATTAAATTAGAACTACGGATATAAAATAAAACGTTTGAGATGTTTTGTTGATTTCTTCCTTATTTTTCTCACTTAGATTGACATACCATCTAAACATTGTTGACATATTCTGAAAGGAGAGAAATTCAACTTTTGTACGGATATAACAAGAACGAATTTGAATAAAATCCAGAGCTGTTATGAATTTTTAAGTGGAACACCGAACATTGGCCATAAAAAATTGCCCCCCTTAGTGAATTCAGCCAAAAAATCCAGTTTTTTATTCCGATGAAAATTCGTATTTAAGCCCTTTAAAGAGTGCTTAAAAAGAATCCGAATCGTTACTTGAAATAAACACACACAACAAATTCAGAACACCATATTTTAAAAAAAATGTAAATTATGTTTAACTTTTTGCTTGGCTCCTAGGACAAGAACGCTCAGACACGTGTCTAATATATTTTCGAGCGATTATCACTAAAAAAGGTTTAATTGAAATCGATGAAATTTTTGGTTGGGGGAAGGTATTAAATTTTAATTATTTATCCAAACTTATAACTCGGCAATTTTGTGGTTCAAATTGAATGGAGGGATCAGCTAAGTAAACATTGCTCCCAAAAAAGTTATACTACAATACAAAACGAATCTCTAACGCTACCCTCTTTTTTGAAATATGACAGCTACAACATCGATTTTAAAACTGCATCTAGAGGATTATTTTTCATGAACTCAAAGCTTGTGTCTTTTGACTAAAAACGCTCTGAGAGTTGTGTGAGAAAGAAAATACAGTTTGACTTTTAAACAAGTCACTAAGCTATAGATTATATATTGTATTTTGAGCTCATAAAGAGAAATGTGGTCTCTATAATTTAACATTTTTTAAATCTTCATCAATATTATTGGGGAAAACAAAAATAAAACTCGTTTTTTTACAAATTTAAAATGAGTCATTATATTTTACACTGATAACAATTGAAATTATTTTAAAGTAAAATTACAATATTATAAAAACAAATAAATCTACTAGGCTGAAATTACTATACTAGTAGTAAAAACTTACGATATTTCTTCACGCTAAGATTACTTGGATTTTAAGCCGTTAATAATATAAAACATCCACCAGAGACAGAACTAACAAAGATATTGCCGACAACGCACACCACCCTTTAAGACCTTACAAAAGAGACTTGAAATTAAGAGATCGCACAACACAGCCCCAAACAGAATATATATATTGTATGAATACATATTGTACTTTGTCTCAACCACACACACGACGACATACCATAATTGTTCTTAATAAACACTGCTTCACACAAAGTACAAAGTTTTAATCTTGGAAAGTGTGCACTTTGAACCAGTAAAAATTACAACTAAAACATGGTGAATAGTTGTAATGATAATGGGTGTCAATTTTCTTCTGGGGAGAAAATTATTTATGCCCCTTGAACAAATTGGAAAAAAAGGCCAATTTATTTTGGAGGCTGAGACCAATCGGTATGGCACTTGTATTGGCAGAAGAGAAAAAAAACGGAAAAAACACTGTTGATTATTCTCCGGTGAAAATCCAAAAACGTCCCTAGGATCAAAATGGAAAGTGGCGTTAAACAATTCCTATTAAAGATTTTTTTAACAACCGGTAAAATTGGATTTTCTTTACTTTTCTTACTTTTTTCTTGTTGTTGTCATGGCTGTTAACGCTCATTACGGTTCCGTAACCGAGGTTCCGGCTAATTGTGACACCTTAAAACCCGGAAATATATTTTTAAATTGATTTATTTAATGTATTACTTCAATATAGGTAAAAGAACGAAAAGATAAATGGTTATGTATATATATGTGTGTGAATAAGGGTGAACACTGGGAGTGTCGCGGGTCACCGATCAAATCCCCATCAAACTTCAAAGAATTCTTTGTTGTAGTGTACACTCACGGTCATCCTCAGGAAACTTAAAAAATTAAATAGTTTTAAACGATTTTTCT